ATTTCCAGTCTCTTGACAGAGCTTTACAAACCAGAAAAGTTCACGAAGAACACCAAACTGTTCATCCGTGAAACCTCCAGGACTCTGGCTGATCCACAGCATCGCATCGGAGCGCCCGAGTTTAAATATCTACCGCATCTCAAACAGCGCTGTCATCTTGCAATTACACATTCAGCCCCAGCCCAGCAGCTTGAGGTCTTTGCGGCCGTTTTTCGGGGGCCAAAAAACCACACTGCAATCACCCCACTACTTGCACCCTGGAGAGACATTTTGAACAACCCACTGCATTTTGGCGGCAAGCCCTGCTTAAGTATTCGGTTTGATACCCTGACACCCAGATCCAATTACTGGCATTAGCACCACATATTTGTCCACAGCTCTTGGGGGGGAAAAAAATTACTATGAATGCGGTGCAATTAATAATTCCTACACTAAAGTGGACAGCGCGCTGCACAAAGTAAATTGTGTGTATCACGAAAATGTGTATGTTTTGTTCCTCTCTTCGTGTATTTCATGGAGACACTTGATGTACTTAAGTACTGCAAATCCAGCAGGCCGGGGAACCGAAAGCAATGGCAAGAGCAGCCATTTTGTTTCATTTCTAGAAAATGATTATAGAGGTCAAAGTGTCTAAGGTAAACAGTTGTTACGCAAGCACTGCCCCACGGAAAAAAATACCCTTCTGTGTCCAGCGTAAATGTGTACTTCAAATGTAATGCACCTGTCCATATAAAAGAGTGTCACTTCAGAAATGTAACTAATGTACAAGCCAAAATTGTGGATTGTTGTTTTATTGCTATTGGCTTGCTTATACTGGTAAAATCATGAATGTAAATTGATAACAATGCAGTTACATACATTCATGCTATTTGTCCAATCAACATTCAGTGAATTAAGTGACCCTGTATGATGGCCAGAACATGTGCATGACTGACATGCAGCGACTCAATTGCTTGTAATAGTACAATTATTTTAAATCAATGACTGAGAAAGCAACATGCCAAATATGCCCTTTTTCATAACCCTCACGTAAGACACTACAGTATGTTCGACATTGTGGAAGATATATTGTTATTAATACTCTACATAATAAGAGCTCTAAGGGCACAAGTCAACATAGAATTACTAATCTAGAAAATTGATTCTTGGCGGTTTAAATAAAGAGAAGCAGACTGGCTTACTCTTCCACAGCTTAAACTTGTGCAGAAACAAAAAAAAACAGAATAATTTAAGACAATTGAATGTCGAGCAGTAATCTGGATTATTAATGAAGACTTTGGCCTGGCTTTGAGCCGAGTGTTTGGATTTTGGGAATATTGTTTTCTTGAGAATTCCTGCAGTATTCCCAGGGCAATGCTGGGAATGGAACTGTTTCTTGTTTTTTTTATGGACACATACACAGGCCATATCTCAGTGTGTTTAGTCACCTTCGGCCTCTTTTCCTGCAGGCGTGTCCTACAGACACATCCGGTATCTCAATGTTTAAAGCTGAAAGCAGCAGCAACAAAGCAGCTCCTGGCTCCCGTCGAAATGCTTTTGGGAATGTGAAAATCAAGGACCGCAGATAGCTGCTAGAAAACCACAGCAGCACATACGACATCAAACATGTAAAATGAGCAAGGCCCTGTTTTATAAGGGTGTTGCATAAAATGTGTTTGTATGTAAGCAATTTCTCACGTCCATTGGCCTCTAAAACCAGAAGTAATGGGTAGACTCTCACATTAACAACGTTCTCTGTTTTGGTTGGAAAGAAGCCAACTCGTACCAAACCGTTCAGGACATTCTGCTGCGATCACAACGATCGGAAAACCGCACAAAGCAGCTCCGGCACAAAGCACACATCTACCTTTGGAAATTAAGCACAATGATCGGAAACCATCTAAATAAAACTGTTTCTACAGTAAATACCCAACACATAAGGGAGGTAAATGAAATTAATCTTCAATGGAGATGCATCAGTTTACATAAAAATACACAGGGCTCTCTTGACAAAATATACAACCATTAAACACGAACACAGCAATGAGAAAGGAGCTGTCAACACGTTTATGTAGATACGTCACAGATTATGTACGGGACTTCCAGAATAATGCAAAAAACGCACTGCACCCTTGTCCCCAAGATTACAACTATAAAATGGATGCTGCCATTTAGTTGATCGCTCAAACTACTGATGAAATCATATTAAAAGTTGCAATCCATTAAAGATGCAATGGTATTTCAAATGAGCAACAGGCTCTATTATTGTGTATTTATGATATTTATGATAGTCGACGTTTTTTGTGTCTTTGCTTTCAACTAATGATGAGAAAACACACAATTGCGTGCTATTATTTTATAATGCACAACGTAGAATGATGAAACTCGATTCAACAAGCTGATATTTGTGAATTACAGCATGAATTGAATCTGAATCCTTTGTGTGCCCTTCCTTACACTGGCTGCTTTTCCAAATCCATGAATGTGCCTACAACATTGTCATGAATACCGCAGACATGTACAGAATTACAAGCATACAAAGACATCTTCCATCCTAACCACAAACCTCCTCTTTTCCACTCATTCACCTCCCACTCATCATCCATCTTCCCTTTCATACCACCCTCATCCCTGCTTTGCCACTTCCTTTCAACTCCTCCACCATCCAATTGCTCCCATGACTCTGCCTGGTCTCACAAGTCCTAACTAGCCCCCACCCCTACTACCAACCCCAGTTCCCTCAATCACCACCAGTCTGACAGATAATTTATTGTTCTTTCCCTTCGTCTCTTCTTACTAACTCATGACAATCCTGGGGCTTGTGGCTTGTCACAACCATCAAATCTTCAATTTGCAATCCACCACTTCACCTTTTGGCCAGAGCACCAAAGCCATCTCGTCCACCCATCACACTTCTCTGAATCCTTCACACTTCTCCGAATCATTCATCACATCCGCGTTCAACATGCGTGGCTCCCATGCCGTTGACTTTTTCACAACCGCACTCAGTATACACAAGCCCAGTCTCCCACAATCACATCAACAAACAGGATACCCTCACAATCCTCTTAATGTCACCTCTTGTGCTCTTCCTCTCTTCGCGCTATCTGTTGCCAATCCATCTGTGCCACCTGCCTGTCGTCCACCACCTGACCCATCCTCGGCAGGGCTGGACTAACATTGTATCCAAAAGTTTGTAAAAGAAAGCCCTGCCAAGGAAGGAACACTTGTCCACAGGTCACTGATCGACAAAGGGTAGAAACGTTACCCACACCACCCCCATAGTCCATGAGCCCCAAACCAGATATTTCACTTGTTACCACCTGGAGGTGGCATAAGTTTGCTGTTTTCCAATTTAATTATATGGCCAATAAAAGGTAATTATAACAATTTGAAATGAGTGTGTTATCAAATAATGCACCTTTTTAGACATAAATAAATCGGTAAAATTAAAATTTTGCTACCTTTGGTGGTACCAATTCCTGCTCTGAAAAATTGCATACCAATGGCATGGGCATGAAAATAATACTAAGGAGACGGTTTACAATGCATTTAATAATACACAAATGCATCTATTAAACGCGACACATTCATAATAGGCGACGTTTCGGGCAATGGCGCTTCTTCATAGCACATCCTTCATAGTGCTAATATGGGCCATTGTCCAAAACGTCGCCTATTGTGTAGGTTTACCTTCAAGGCAGTGTTATTGCCAAAATATGTTGATGTGCCACTGTCAAAGTACTTTTACCAAATAATTTTATTATAACCGATTGTTATCCTCGAAATTATCATATACTGATTCATGCAAATTATCTGCAAAGGTTATGACGTTATAATTAGGCTAACAGAGTGAACATTGTATTATAGGGTCATAACAGTGAGAAACAATACCAACAATCAGTAACAATGAAATGAAAAATGCGATTCTGAAATTGAATCGCAACCCCATCTAATTGCTGCAAAGATGAACTGTTAAATGCCGACTGTTTGAATCACCACCATGATACATGCCCATCACAATTTCATAGCCACCAGGCACAACAGTTCCATCGCAACAAATTAAGATTACCAAAGCAATAGCTCTAAATAACCTCCATCACCGCGTATACCTCACTTATCACCTCCACCAAGACTCTCACAATTATCGCCACCACCTCGTTTGACATGGTAGCCATACATTCATCAGCACGACCAGCAAGCCTCCAAACACTACCATCTTAAAAACATCCTCGACTCTTCTGCCAGTGAAATAATTAATCTCCCTCACTACCTCATAATTCGTCATTAGGACCTCTAAAAGTACCATCTTCTCTTGTCATCACCGGAACCACCACGACTTCCACCACCGACGTTCAACATCTATCCTCCACCATGTCACCTGCACTTTCATCAACATGACCTCCAACAGTACCATCATATTGCATCCACCAACAACCATCATCTGAATTCCACCACCACCTTGCCTTCACTACCATTACCTCTGTACCTTGAACGCCCACATCCACCATTAAACACCACCTCAGTATTAACCACCACAGAGGCATTTCACCCCGCTATCTCCAATAGTAAAACCAACACCATCTAACCTCATTCATCACCATCCTCCCACCTTCATTACAATTATCAGTGCCATCAACCACCATCTATCAACCATCACTACACTGTACCTCCAGCTTTCTATAGCCATGATCTTCACCACCATCTTACCTCCACGGCATCATCTGACCACCACCATGTCGCCTCCACTTTCTAGTGCCACGGACTACAATCTCACATCAACCACATCCATCAACCTCATCAACTCCACCTCACCTCCACCTCACCACCAAACCACGTTCACCTCACACCATTCACCCTCCACCCGCCACAATAACCACGACCGCCGGCAACCCATCACACCATCACCACAACCACCGCCAACAAAAAAACAACCACGGCCTCCAGCACCACCACCACCACATTCACCACCACCACATTAACCGCCACCACCACCACGAAGACGACCCGACGCACGCTACCTTGAGCACGAAGCCATGCTGAGCTCCGCGCCGCCCTCACTCCATCACACGCCGCCGCCGCCGCCGCCGCGTCCCCTCCAGCTGCCCGAGCCCAGGTTCGCGGCGGCGCTCTCTCGGCCCGTGTCCCCCCACCGTGAAGACGAGCAGCAGCAGCAGAAGAGACACCGTCACGGACACACTCGGCGAGAGAGACACCGAGCAGCTCCCGCCGCCGCCGCTGCTGCCCACGGGGTTACAGCCACCGTGCCCTAGGGCCCCCCCTCACCAGAGCCCCCCTTTCCCGATCCGCTCGCCGCCAAACCGGGCCGGTGCGAGGGTTTCCCCTCACCGCCACCGCCCCTCCTCGCCTTCGTTATTCTCGTATTGTCGTCGTCGTTGTTGTTTTGTTTTTGTTGTTAGGATTCAAATTATTACAATCGTCCTTGTTGTTATTGCCGCCGACAGCGCCGCTGCTTTACTGCCGCTGCTGCCGCCGCCGGGGCGGCTCACGTCTCCGTCCCTGCTTCCCTCCGCGCCGCCCGGGCCGCCCCGCGGAACGCTCCGCCCGCACGACCCGGACTACTTTACATCCATCCTGGCCAGGGCGGACCATACCAAGTGGCCCCCCCCGCCCCCTGCCTCACCTCTACTCCATGCAGGGGTGCTGTGGTTCAAACAAATTAACAAAAGTAATCCTAATGCGTGGTACGATATGAACTACGCAACAATCATGAATTATAATTTAACTATAACTATATGGATTTAAACATCTCAGCAAAAGTGATTGTAGGTAATTAGTTTTTTAGTCGTGTTGTGATGAAGCACCCCCTTGGGTGTCTGCGGAGAGGGCCAAGGTGGACGAACCCGCGTTGCTACGCGCGCGGTGACGTCACCGTTTGTTGATCGCCGCGTGGCCAATGAGCGCGCGAGGCGAGTGGCCTCCTTCACCGCCCGGGGTAGGAGCTGAACCTTTGGAGTGATTGGCAATGGTTTAAATAACACTACACTAGTTATAACTCTACACTTGTTATAACACTTAACTTGTTATAACACTACACTAGTTATAACACTTCACTTGTTATAACACTACACTAGTTATAACACTACACTAGTTATAACACTTAACTTGTTATAACACTACACTAGTTATACCACTACACTTGTTATAACACTACACTAGTCATAACACTACACTAGTTATAACACCACTAGTTATAACACTTAACTTGTTATAACACTACACTAGTTATAACACTACACTAGTTATAACACTAACTACGTTATAACACTACACTAGTTATAACACTACACTAGTTATAACACTTCACTTGTTATAACACTTAACTTGTTATAACACATCACTTGTTATAACACTACACTTGTTATAACACTAACTACGTTATAACACTACACTAGTTATAACTCTACACTTGTTATAGCACTACACTTGTTATAACACTTCATTAGTTATAACACTACACTTGTTATAACACTACACTAGTTATAACACTAACTACGTTATAACACTACACTAGTTATAACACTACACTAGTTATAACACTAACTACGTTATAACACTACACTTGTTATAACACTACACTAGTTATAACACTACACTTGTTATAACACTTCACTTGTTATAACACTACACTTGTTATAACACTACACTAGTTATAACACTACACTAGTTATAACACTTAACTTGTTATAACACTACACTAGTTATACCACTTCACTTGTTATAACACTTAACTTGTTATAACACTACACTAGTTATAACACTTTACTTGTTATAACACTACACTAGTTATAACACTTCACTTGTTATAACACTACATTTGTTATAACACTACAATAGTTATAACACTTCACTTGTTATAACACCACTAGCTATAACACTACACTTGTTATAACACTATACTAGTTATAACACTACACTAGTTATAACACTACACTTGTTATAACACTTTACTTGTTATAACACTACACTAGTTATAACACTTCACTTGTTATAACACCACTAGTTATAACACTACACTTGTTATAACACTTCACTTGTTATAACACTACACTAATTATAACACTATACTAGTTATAACACTACACTAATTATGGCAGTACACGATATAGTGGAGCGGACACATCGGAACAAGAGCGGTGTGTGGATGATATGTGGATGTGTGGGTGATGTGTGGATGTGTGGGTGATGTGTGGATGTGTGTGGATGTGTGGGTGATGTGTGGATGTGTGTGTGATGTGTGGATGTGTGTGTGATGTGTGGATGATGTGTGGATGGTGTGTGAATGTGTGTGGATGATGTGTGGATAATGTGTGTGGATGTGTGTGGATGATGTGTGTGGATGTGTGTGGATGATGTGTGGATGATGTGTGTGGATGATGTGTGGATGATGTGTGTGGATGTGTGTGGATGATGTGTGTGGATGTGTGTGGATGATGTGTGGATGGTGTGTGAATGTGTGTGGTTGTGTGTGGATGTGTGTGGATGTGTGCCGAGTGGTGTGTGGATGATGTGTGGATGTGTGTCGAGTGATGTGTGGATGTGTGTGGTTGTCTGTGGATGATGTGTGGATGTGTGTCGAATGGTGTGTGAATGTGTGTGGATGGTGTGTGAATGTGTGTGGATGTTTGTGGATGTGTCGAGTGGTGTGTGGATGATGTGTGTTGAGTGGATGATGTGTGGATGGTGTGTGGATGGTGTGTGGATGATGTGTGGAGTGACGATTATCCGAACCGTGTCCTGAGCCGCCTCTAGATCGACTCGGCCTCAAACGAGGCCCATCGCCACTAGGGGAGACAAAGGCGGTCGGTCCGTCGTGGTGCTGGTCACCCACCCTCGTCGTGGGGCTGGTCACCCACCCTCGTCGTGGTGCTGGTCACCCACCCTCGTCGTGGTGCTGGTCACCCACCCTCGTCGTGGGGCTGGTCACCCACCCCCATCGTGGTGCTGGTCACCCACCCTCGTCGTGGTGCTGGTCACCCACCCCCATCGTGGTGCTGGTCACCCACCCTCGTCGTGGTGCTGGTCACCCACCCCCATCGTGGTGCTGGTCACCCACCCTCGTCGTGGTGCTGGTCACCCACCCCCATCGTGGTGCTGGTCACCCACCCTCGTCGTGGTGCTGGTCACCCACCCCCGTCGTGGTGCTGGTCACCCACCCTCGTCGTGGTGCTGGTCACCCACCCTCGTCGTGGTGCTGGTCACCCACCCTCGTCGTGGTGCTGGTCACCCACCCTCGTCGTGGTGCTGGTCACCCACCCTCGTCGTGGTGCTGGTCACCCACCCTCGTCGTGGTGCTGGTCACCCACCCTCGTCGTGGGGCTGGTCACCCACCCTCGTCGTGGGGCTGGTCACCCACCCCCATCGTGGGGCTGGTCACCCACCCCCATCGTGGTGCTGGTCACCCACCCTCGTCGTGGGGGTGGTCACCCACCCTCGTCGTGGGGGTGGTCACCCACCCTCGTCGTGCCCTGCCGGCCTTCATAGGCGCTCGCTAACAGCACTTGCCCCCAAGTCAGTTAAAGGCTATACAGGGGGGGGGGGGGGCTTTGTCTTATCTCGTGCGCTGCGTATTTAGTGTAATTATAAGTGAAGGCGGACCGGGATCAAGATGATTAAATCAATGGGCAAAGGAAAGCGTGATGCAGTGCTTCTTGGAAATGCAACGTGATCAATGCAAACACACCAGACGTAGATGCAGAATACGGAGCGACGAAAGCTGAAAGGTCGCACGTGGAGATGACTGACGGGGATTAACACCGAGACGGAGAAACGCGTGGCTTCGAGAACACATCGCAAAGGAGACACAACGCCGACTTCATAAAACGAAGTGATCTTGAGCAGGACCCCTGGCTCGAGAGGATAATGGCCACTGGGACAAGTCCGGCGATGAACTGTCGGTGAAAGGAGGAAACGTGCCTGGGACGGAGGAGGATCTCCAACCGCAGAGACGGAGCGACAAGAACAGCTCACACCACGGAGAGCGGAGAGGGCTTGTGGCGTCTCTGGTCCGTGAGGGCTGGCGACGCCAAGTGGTGGATACATAAACACGTGGGCTGCTGAAGACTCAAACCAGTGCCTCGATGGGTGTCAACCGGTTCCTTTAACAATCAGCATTTAATAAATCACCAAGACTCGTAGAGCAGCGGAATTATGGAAAGGCCTTCGTCCAGCCAGTGGAGTGACAAGAGGGATATACATGTTAGGTGGAAGGAAACTGGAGCACCCGTTAGATATGAATGCATAGGAGGGGATAACACTTCAGGAAAAATACTCCATTCAGACAGATGCACGATTCTGGTGCTCTACTGCTATTTCCTGCCCACCTCGTGGCGTTCCTGGCGTTGTTTATATTCCATGGCATGTCAGACAAGGAGCAAGCCTACAATTTTGGAAATTATGGCAGGGGGGTGTGCTATAAAGTCACCAATTATGACCCCATTCACAGGCACTTGTGATGAAAACCATTAAAAGCTCCTCACGAGTGAGGCATTTTTCGCCTTTTGTCCAAGTCTGTATCTGAGAAGCATTCTGCATGACCAGCAAATTGCGCCATCTGATTTTGAAGGCGTTCGAGTGTCAAACCACTGTACATCCATGATAACCACTTCTTCCTTCACGGACTTCCCCTTTGATTTCCTTTCTAATAGTAAGTGTTCAGTAAAAAATAAATGTATTAAGCTTGGGCAATTAGTGTACATGTAAAGGTTTAACCGAGGTTGAAACAAATGTGTAACAATCAGATTGATCATTCGTATGCATAGTGTACAATTTATAGATTGAAAATGTGTATTTGCATGTGTACGACACACGTCAATCAACACCCGTCCATCAACACCCGTCCTGGACACCCTTGCAGACGAGATGTTCTGCCTCAAGTGACATTTCCACAGAAATATTTTAATAATGAAAACAACAACATTGTACGTTGGACTTACAAAAAAAACGTACCTTTGTAGAAAAAAACAAGGTAATCATCAACGATGTTCCCAAACACAAGACCTTACAAGAGGACTTGTCATTTAAATAGATCCATTATGTCAAACATGCGCATTCCATTGCACCAGTTGATTGCTACTGGCTTGTGTAGTGTGGCACGTCAGACACACTGATGCGTGAGCGTTGATATCATCGCAAATGCTAATGATTCAGCAACCTGCCACTACACAAGTGGCCTTCACCACCTGTCACTGGCACTACAGGTGGCCCTGCGACGTGGCATTGGGCCGGTGCCGTGCCAGAAAGCGCCAAACACCTCGTTGTTTGGCGCAAATGTTCAAAAAAGAATCTCGCATTGGCGGAGCCCATTGTTTGTACAGCTCCATTTCAATTCTCGTCCTTAAGAGTGTGGCATGCGTGTGTGACTGCATGGGTCGACTATAGATAAGGACATCTTAGTACAGTACAGCTTATCGAGACCCAGGAGCATACTCCACTACACAAAATCTGGTGAACAAACATGCTGAACACCAGGTTACCACGGCTGGGCCAGGCCAACTCGAACAGATATGTTTGAACAGTGCACGCATGTGACTCGTCAAGAATGTGACGACCAGAAGTGCCCATTAATCAGATTGTTTGCTAGTTACTCATATACTGTGAATAATTACACTCGAATAAGTATTATGCACGCTCCACAACTTCATACCAAAACAGAAACAAACATACAATGTGTTCTGAAGTGTGTTATACAGTATACCATTACAGTGCTTTAGATTCCTTCTAATGCAAGTAATATTCCCAGTTGATGCATTCAGCTCAACTCAATGTTCAGCTGAACTCAATGAACATTACACACATGTTGAAGTAATAAAAACAAAGTCAGTGATTTCCTCCTGCAGTGAGCATTGAAGCAGCGTTCATGTTTACAACCTAATACAGTGTCGATAATTCAACATTCCTATGGCGTGGGTAGGTCTGTCCAAATTACAACCAGTTTAACTTCCCCACTAAGTGGAACCCATTGTAAAATAAACGAAACTATGTTTTATTATTTTACCAGGTAAGGCCCACTGAGCTATGTATGGGTTTTTTTTCAAAACCACGAATGATAGCTCAACGAAGTGGCTTATCACGTGGAAATATTTCGCAGCCGGAGGACCCGGAGAAAAATCCACACAACCACGGGGAGAGAGACATGCAAACTCCAATGATACAGGCGTCCTCCTGCAATCAGGCGGCGAGGGAGTAAACGTCTCACCGGACGGATGATGGGCTGAGTCAACCCATCAACTAAAGTTTAATTCGCTACCGCTGAGCCGCTAGACGGTAAGAAATAGAAACAATAACTTAAACATTTGTCAAGCCACTGCTGGATGAAAGCCTGTTGCTCACGCTGTGTCGGTGAATGAGGATTTTTTTTACCATACTTCCCCATTCTGGACAGCGCAGGTTGGTAAAGATTAGAGTACAGTACAGCAATACGGTCCTCTGATGCGATACTATGTAACTGATGGATACATAGACCACATGTCTCAAGCGATTTTGTTTTCTATCATAAACCCTTTTAACTCTGCTATTGCATTTCCATCACAAGCAAAAGGTGCCAGTTTGTAGTGGATAATCGATGTTCCTGTGCAACTCCTTAACATACCCTTGGTCGTTTCACTGCCATGCTGGATATGGATTCTGGGCCTCAGGGGGCGCAGCTTTTAAACATCCAGGGGTGCGTGTTTGTGTGTGGACGTTTTGTTCACGACACACAACCACTTTATTACAATTACAAAGTGCAGAGTTGCATACTTTAGTCAATGCGGTGACATCAAAAGGGGCGGCTGCGGGTTTGTGAGCTGTTGATCACACGCACAACTCTCTCGGTGTGTGTCCTATTACAGTGGGAAAACATCTTTGTAACCTGAGCGAACCGTTTGCTTGGGACTGGTGCTGTGAGTGGGTCCCCATTTAATCCACGTCAGCTCAGCCTTACGCAAACTTGAGCAGTCCCCCCCCCCACCCCCCCGGACTGATATTTATATTTTAAATACTGCATTGGACACTCATTGAAGACTGAATAGAGATATGAGGCCCATGACCACATCATACCCAGAATGCACCCGAATTCACGAGATCTTGGAAGCTAAGCAGCATGCAGCCTGGGTGGTGCAGCGTGATGACATTGGGGCGACTCCCATCCTCGACAAGTTCCACCCGCAGGTGGTGGAGCCATGTGACGGTGAGCAGAGGGACGTGCAGGAAAGGCATTTGTTGTACAGTATTCTACTTTTATGCTACCAAATCTACGCGTCTTGCCTTCCCCCATCTAATGGCCAGTTGTGGTGAAGTATGGTGAAATAATCCCCACAAGCTGCACGGCGTGGACAGGTCCTCATTCAGCAGTGGATTGACAAAAGTCCGATAAAGATGCAGACCCAGAGAGAGTGTGTTCCGGGTTCAGGTAACATTTGGAAACTGGTTTTCAGCATTGCCCGATAATTGAACCATCACAGTGCAGTGTGCTAACCACAAAGACACAACTCCCCACTCTACAAACACACCTCAACAGCTTCGCTTTGTCTTGCGATTACACACGTCTCATAGCTCAGTCTGGCAGCAGAGGACACGCTGCATGCAGTTACAGCGTGTTGCCGACTGGGAGCATGCAATTATCTCTTTGATAGCCGAGAACAGGTACTGGACGGGGGTGTAGCTATTGTCTTCAAAACACCCATGGCCTCTCGGCCGGGCGTTTAAAGGGCAAGCGACTTGGTAAAAATGCGTGGAGTCACTTTTTTTTTAAGTGGCTTTGAGCAAAAGCATCGTATGACGCGAACCTGACGGTTAAAACCAGCAGTGTCATTGAACGGATCAATGGTTTCTTCAAAAGGTGAATTTTAATGCCACAGGTTAAAGGGGACAGGTATTAGACGCAGGGTTCCAGAGTGGCACTGCTATATGTGCAGGCACTCGAGGATTCACTTTGTAAAAGTCATAATCTGTTTTTATAGCCATTCCTACATGATACAGCTGTTGAATATTTGTCACAATAACATTGCATTTTCCTCACTGTAATTTTTTTTATTATTATTCAAACATCCTCTTGAATTGACCCTGCCATATATATAAAAACACGTGCATAGAGATATTTCACGAATGTCTCTTTTTCTTTGTAGTGGAACAATTTTTTTTCAGAACGTATACATTTCAACATAAACCCATTATCAAAGATGATAAACGGAGCCGTTTGAATGGGATTTACAAATTAGATGACTTGCTTGGATTAGCCCCAACTGGTAGCGACATTTACCATTTTTATTTCTTCAATCGGGAAACCGAATCAGCTAAAAACATGCCATTGTAATTCCCTGTCATGCTATGCGAACAAAAAAACAAGCAGAATCTTGCACCCTTGTGATGAAAATTGGTCTGGGAGCACATCAAAGATAGCAGGGCAGCGCGTGCCTTTGTTTGAATGAATAACAAGGGATTGTATCCAATACATCTGTTGCAGATAATCCCTATCGCGTGTGAAGGTCTGTGAGTCTTCCCCGCGGTGTTTTAATTCACAGAAAGACATTACATCTTGGGAAAGCTGTGACGTGCGATATTATCGCCACGTGGGTAATTCATGCACAGTGCCACATTTAATGTTGGCTTGTAAATATGCATTCTTTAATATACTGGCCAGGGACTCGATTGAATGGTAACCACGCTTGATTAATTTAGGATCTCATGCTCCGAGCTGCAAAATTCAATTTGACCATGACAAGCCGGAGAACAGCACCTATTAATAGTCTAACCTAATGGTTTAAATCAGCCGCAAGGGGAATGAATTTGCAGATATCTGCTCCTGGATGCAGGCTTGGAGGATGTGTTTCCAATAAAGGCCTTGGCTGGGGAGGTGCGGGAGCGGTGGTGTGGTTGCGCAGTGGTTATCGCACCACACTGTGAACCTGGAAACCCGCGTTTGACTCCTGACCACGGTTAACATCGGTGGCAGTCACATCTGTACAGGTCCTGGACACCCCTATCATCTTCACCAACAAGCCCTGAACAACTTGGTGAAGTATGGTCAAACAACCCACATGACCGCCACGGGTAGGGAGGCCTTCATCAATCGCGGATTGACAAATGGCTGTAAATTATTGTTAATAAATGCCTTCCAGGGACAACTACTCATATCAGCACTGTTATTAAAAGTATTACTACTGCTAATTTTCCTACCTCGTGACTGAAGCAAAATATGTAAAATCGTTCTGCCTGGCACAGACGCAAGCCCAGAGCCACCCAGACATACACATTCGAAGTGTATTTAACGCTTCAAAGCTTAGACTTTCCTAGCGCTGCACAGTTTACACATTAGCCAGAGGATGGTAGCCACATCTCACAAGGATTCACAGACGCACGAAGTTTCTTGAAGAGAGCTCTCTCCGAATTGAATGTGGATCTCTTGTGGTGGTGTAATATGCGGTCACCCCCATATAATCTAAGTCACGTGGCAATCATCAAGGAATGTAGACAGAGGCCCTCCTTGGGGGCATCGTGATTACAGAGGGTCAAGGGAGAAGTGATTGGCGCACAGCACTTCAAACCTTGCAACCTGAGTTCGAATCTCGGGCATGGGTATCTGAGCAACGTTTGAACTGGTTCAGGGCCCCCTCTTCACCAACACGCACGGACCAGCATGGTGAGGTATGGTCCAAGAAGATCCATGATCATTACGCAAGGGGAGGCCTTCATCCAGCAGTGGATTGACAAAGGGGCTGTTAGAAATAGGAAACATATCGACGTGCATTCCCTGGTTTTAATGAAATCAGTTACTCATCACGAAACATTTACTTAGACTGGTCTTAGAGTGACTGAGATATTGGTTACCAAGTCGCTGCTGCTTTCATGAACGTACACGTATGTAGAAGGTAAATTAACATTTTTTTTATTAATCTATTATATTCAATGAGTTATGACCATAGTTATTGTAACAAAAATAATAATCACAGCACGATTTCACTTTGCAATGAAGTAACATTGTTACAGCCCCAACCACAAATGTCACAACGATCAACTAAATTGTTTATATATACAAACACCCTACTTAATTACCGGTACACCTTGGCAAAGGTATAAACAGTAGAAAAGTGCCATCACCAAATTAACAATTTGGACTGAACTGGATGCAGTTCCAATCTCTCTTCTTATATATATTTTCTATTTCACAATTACATTGGAATTGCACTATTGGCATCATGTAATCAGACACGTTGCGATCAGTGCATCACCCTGTGTTAGACAATAGCCCCGCAGAACGATATATCCCTGAACTACTTCCGAGTCACCTATTTTATCTACACACTTTTTTTGCACACGTACCGCTACAGAGAAGCATTGATAACAAGGCAGTCAAACGTACATTTCAAATTCTTAATAAAAATGGCCAAATATATATTCCAAATGCAGTGAACAACCAAATCAGACCATCGCCTCACTGCGCTCAAGAACCCGGTTTAACCACAGGTGGGTTGCCTTGTTTCGAACTCCGATCTAAGCCGTGTGGGGCTCATTGCTCCGACTCCTGAGCCACCAGCCACTTCAAGATGGAGTTACAACCTCCAACAAAAGTAACTTTACAGTTTAAATACAACTCGGTGGCTGAAAATCCTTGTGTACCAACAGGGAGCACTGCGCCCATGGCTCCTTTTCATTATCAGCGAGAACCAGGCTCTGCCGGCCCAGACACAGCAGCCCAGGAATGGCCAGAATCAGCACTGCACTTCGTGAGGTCTCGTCGGCTCAGTCACCCTCCTTCATCAGCTTCCTTAACCACCTTCCTTCACCCAATCCTCTGCGGCTGATGGGTGGAAGTCAAAGAGCAATCATAAAAAAAATGTTTAAATACAGTTTAATGGAGGCTTGAGTTAAGTTGTACTATTTAAAGTAAAAATCTATAATTTTTTGTTGACGAAATTTCACCGTGAGTTTTAAACACCAACACGGCCTGCAATTTAACCGAGTGTAAACCACGCGTGGCCCACAGATCTGGACCACTGACGCCAGCCCACAATTTCCTCCTCCTCTTCGAACGACACCACAAATATAATTAACGCCCACACTGCAAAGCGGACGGCAAACGTTTTTTGACGGTGGGAACACCCGCGCGGCATTAACCGGGGCGGCATTAACCGGCCCGGGCCACGTCGCCACGGCCATGGCTGCCGGCTCTCAGTCGGCGAGCACGACGCAGGATTCGGCGAGAGGCGGGCACTCCCGGTAGGACTTGAGGCCGGGGTGCTCCAGGTCACCGGCGTTGGGGTGCTCGGAGGACGCAGGCCGGTCGGACGGAGGGCCCGTGGTGCGCACGCACACGCAGCTCGGACTCGAGCCCGGAGTGAACAGGAGTCGGGGCACTCCCACCCAGTCGCGCTCCACACCACCGCTGGCCACGCACCACACACAGAGGGACAAAGGTTGCCCCCTAACCCGTATGGCCTTTGACAGGGTGTCGGGGCAAGTGCTGTTAGCGAGCGTCTACGAAGGCCGGCACGGCACACGAGGAGGTAGTGGTCAGCACCGCGCCCGGCCGCCTTTGTCTCATTCGGGGCCGAGTTTTGCCGAGGGGAGGCCCAGGACCGGTTCAAATAATCGTCGCCGGCGTTGGCCGTGAGTGGGAATCGAACTCGGGTCGCAGGGTTCGTCGCGCAGCGTAGCACTAACCGCTCCGCCACAGCTCCCCATACACAAACAGGCGTCAGCAGAGAGGGTTAGGGATCAGGAGATGTAAGGGGACAGGTGCGGAGGGAAGTAAGTGGGCGGAGAGCGATAAGAGTGAGGCCAGGGGATGCGCAGATGAGGCAGCAGGGAATGAGGCTGAAGAGAGAAAAGCAAGACGTAAAAGCCAGTGAGGCTCACATGAAACTAATTAGACAGGCGTGAAACAGAGACACGCAGGCGTCTTCAACGATATAATTTGAAACAGAAAAAATATTAAACACCAGACTTTGAACAGGCTTAAGTTATCGTCGTGTGTTAATGAACCATCCAAACTTCACTGCAATGCACTGTGAAAACATCTAGTGCCAAGCCACTGAGGCGTGCGTTTCCCGCATCATTAAATCAATGAAACGCTTTAAAAATTAAACCAACTTCATCAGCCAAATGTGAATAAAAAGAATATTCTGCACCAGTTGTGTACTACGCAGCTTGAGCTGGGGCAAAGATATGACACAACATGTCCACGCGGCGCATTCAAACGTAAGCCAGGGCTGGTGACTGCAGCTCACAGTCGAACACAAGTACACTTCTCTCACCGCACAGTATTTTCCAACGGAGTTCAACTGATGTTTAGTACGGAAGTGCCCCGATTCGTGTCGGGGGATGTGCTCCTGAAAGGTGCGACGACGAATATCGAAACGACTCACATCGAAGGCAATTTACAGCGTAAGGTGGTGGCGGTGGAGGCAAAGGCTGAGAGGCGACGGATACGAGGACGGATAGCCGATGCTGTGAGCGACGTGAGCGCGGGTTGAGGCGACGCATATCAGGTAGCGGGTATTAATAACGTGACAACGTATGTGCGAAATTACGTAAAAGGGGGGAGACGTAAATCGGGGTATCACTGTAACTGCATTTTGACATCTCACTGCAAGCCACGAGTTACCCTGAGACGGATGTCTGTCAACCCCACCTGACCACTAAATGCATTGTAAAGTGAAAAGATAAACACGGAAACATTCACAGCATGGCTTGCTTGGTCCCAGCAGATTCGTCTTAACGCAGCAGGTGGGTCACAGTTCCTCAGACCCCACCTCGAGATTCAATGAATTGTCAATCTAGGGTCACAATTCAACAATCGATTGCTTTTGAAACTTTCCAACAAAGGTTAAAAGCGCTAATGTGTTAACCGAAGCTGGATCCGTCTGTCCCTCTATAACAGGGGAACAGGATAAATCTCATACGAACAAACTTTAGAATACATGTACTTAGGTCTAAGGACAAACCATATGAGAGAACCGGCCAATTTGACCATTTGGTTTTCTCAAGACCTGGAAACAAAACGAGCATTAAACTGATTACTCTTGGCATCTGTGCCTCGCCGAGTGAAGCGTGCATTCCTTCCCTCTCCCTCTGCCTCCGATGACCAAATTACATTTGAAGTCACATAGTAATATTAATAATCGATTATAATGAATGAATTGTCACGTGCCTATAATACAGATATTACCAACTTCCAATCCTTATGCCCCACTAGATATGAACAATATCCAACAACCTATTTTGCATTTTTAATTACGAATAACTGGTGGGGATGGCAATAGAAGCTAACCTGAGGCATGGATTATTGAGAAATGTCAGTCTTAATGAGCACCTGTGATCAGCCATCTCAGGTCGCTTACCCTCTGGTTTGCAAGGCCTACGAGGATGTTAAATGTGCATCAGAGTAGCGGAATGTTTTGTCTGCTATCTGCACAATCGGCTATAATTATCTACCTCTAAGTTTGATCAGCAGGGTGCAATCCGAATGAATGTCGATGGCCACCACGACCGGCACCACACGCATTCACTCACCTGCGCTTGCCGCACCAAACCCTGCTCCCACTGGCCGCGCTCCACTCCGAGTTGCAGGGCGGAAATCGCCGCTTCTGCAGCTCTTTCTCCTCCTTAGCCTTGTGCCCGAGCGCCAGGGCCTCCTCCACCTCACGCAGGGCTTCGGTGGGCCGGCCCTGCTCGTCGTAAAACCTGCCCACCAGCTTCCCTGCAGGCCCCCGCACAATGGCGCGCATCTCCCGAGGCCTATCGCGAGCCTTCTAACGCCCCGTCTCAGCCACTATCCACACAATTGTTACCGCAGCCAGCGGATTGCCTGTGGGGCGCTGGGGAATGCCACACGGTCATCCACTCGCTCACGTGCAAGGTCAACAACGTTTGCATTTTTACGAGTATCGCTTATTTATATATATTTTTTAAAAATATGTAACTCTGAAAAGTGCAATGATAATTTTTTTTTTAAAGGGGTTGAATGGACTGATGTTTCATTTTGGCTCCCAATTGCGAACCCTTGAGCAAATCAGTAAGTCTCGTTTGTGATACTGCTAGGAAAATGGTGCGTGACACCCTAATTGTAGAAATTCCTCAAAAAAATAGCCAACAGCTCGGCGAAGGGATAAGCTCTTAATCTCTTTATCATGGTTGCTGGGCACAGGCCTGAAACACCAAGCAGCCAGCAACAAATGGCACGACTGTATTTAAGGCATAATAGACGTGAGTTTTCACACGTCTTAACTTGTGCCCGGTTACAAGAACTTGGGAAAAAACAGACAATGGGAGGGAATTCTAGAGCCGAGCAGTGCGAGGAAAGAATCTGAAAGGGAGGTATTGTGACGAGCGGTGCGGTGGTTAAACAAAGTGTGGCTGGAACAGTCAGCCTAGTGGACAGAGTCCTCAACATCGGTGGAGGTCTAATGATGTAGATGCTCACCCCGAGCCCTCATTACTTTGATAGTGCATTGTCTTGTAGCTGTGTAACGCCTTTTGGTGTCATCTGGTCGAGCACCAATTGGGTGGAGGCTCAAAAGAAAGCCGTCTCTTGGTATGGACCAATCAGTGTCAAGGACAATGCATATATTATCATAGTATGTTTTTTGTTTGCATTTTGACTGCAGGTATTGTGGTTAATGCAGTAACATGGATCCTTGTAAAAAAAGGTTTCAGTTTTGTTGCCAGAAAAAAGGGGAAAACCCCTATTATTAAATATCGGTGGAGGAATCAATGCATGACGTTAACGGGGACCTTAACTGTGACAGCAGTGACAGAAGAGTGATAAGGAGAAGGCAACTGACAGGAGGCAGCTTGAGGCTGGAGTGAATCAGTGAGCGCTGGATCATCAATCTATCAGACTGCTCTACTTTGAATTCTATCAATTGCAGTGGGGTAGGAACTGGATGCTTCATGCCAACTACGATAACAGTGCCACTTGGGCATTGTAAAGAAACCCGCAGTGGATGGGTCAAAATATGAAACTCGCTGTGTGTTTAATGCTTTCAAATAACGGCATTTTGCATTTGTCAGCACAAGGCAAGACAATGAATACATACGCACAGCTACAAACACAAAGACCCCCATGTGTAGCCTTAAACAGTTCAGATGAGTGCTGTGAGTGGGCAGCAGTCATAGGCTGCATGACACAAAGGGCTGGTATGGCCAGAACCGGACACAGCCACCTTGACTTGAGATTGTTCAAGACAAGTCCAGATACTCTACAAAGGTGACCACAGCCAGGAATTGAACCGAGGTCATTGGGAACGTAATAAACCACCCACATCACAACATCCGAGCACCCATACACATTTGGGTCCAGATTCTAGCGTTGACAAACATTTATCTTGGTCCTGTATTGACAAGAAACACACCTGTGATGGTGTTTCCATTACCAACAATGCGGCTAATCGCCTATTTAATGTTTCATACTTCCTCAAAAGATTTGAATCTTTTACTCCGTGCTTGTGGCTTAAAGCCACTTACCACGGACACTTATCAACCGGTGCTCGTGTTGGGGTAGATTTTTTGTTGCGGTCGTGCCGCGTAGTTCTGCCACGCTCAAAGTCCTGGGAGGAGCTCCTGCTTCTTATTCTTCAGGAACAGGCATTCAGTTCACTTCCTGATGAAGCTCCGGACATGTGGAGCGAAAGGTCAACATCTCGCCACGGTGACGAGATGTTCACTAACTCGTCTAGCGTACAGGAGGTCGCGGGTTCGATCCCGACCTTGACGCCTGCTGCTGTATATTTAGAGTTTGCGTGTTTCGTTCCCCGTGGTCGCGTGGATTTTTCTTCGGGTCCTCCGGTTTTCCCCTCGACATTTAAAAATATCCGCTTAGAGTAATTGGCTGCTGTATATTTCCACGTGATAAGCCACTGCATTTGTGGCCAGGTCGCTTCTGAAAAAGAGCTACACAGCTCAGTGGGCCTGACCTCGTAAAATAACAAAAATAGTTTTTTTAGCAGTTTAGCTTCACTCCGTGCCGAACAGGACGCGGCGACACACAACCCTCAAAACCGACGGGAGGAGCTCCGGTGCCGCAGCGGCAACTCGGCGGGCACGTGCTTCACCTCTCCCCCTCCCCGCGAATACGACGTGGCACCCGCGTGCGAGCGGGCCTCGCGCGCTCGTGGGGAATCTCACCCACGTACGCGTAGTCGCGCTGGTAGAAGGACAGCCAGTCGTGCAGGCCCAGCATCTGCGCGGGGCTCAGTCCGGACACGTCGTCCACCAGCCCGGCGTCGGAGAAGTCCCCGCTGACGAAGGCGCGCGACGCGTCTCTCCCTGGTGGCGGCGACCGACGGGCACGCGTTACCACCGCGTGGGTTTCCGCTCGGCACGATGCCGCCACGTGTCGCTCCGCGTGGCGGCGAGTTTCCCCGGGAATTGAATTCAGCCGCTGGATCGAGCTGGAGAAGCTGCCGGCGCGCGGAGCGAAACGTCGGGAATGACGCCGAACAACGCTCGGCGCAACCCGAAACAAAACGGAGACGGCCACACGTTGGGCATACGTTGTGCACACGTTGTGCACACGTTGGGCACACGTTGTGCACACGTTGTGCACACGTTGGGCACACGTTGGGCACACGTTGTGCACACGTTGGGCACACGTTGGGCACACGTTGGGCACACGTCCACAACCAACACACATGGCCATCAGCAGCTCGAGGTTAGAGCTGAGAGAATCCTCGCGAATCGTATAATTCCACCACGGCCGGTCGTAGCAGAAATTGCGATTCCTCTGAGCAGGCATTCTGCCGTGGATCGCTCGTGCAACGGTTTAATGGCCTGGCTTTAACATTAACATGTCATCTCCATTATACGTTCGCTACTGACACACACAGCCTGATGAATGTGTAATGACAGGGTGTCACCTGTCGACCTGAAGGGGTAATCGCGGTTATGGGTATATTACGTCATGCCTAATTATGAGGGGGGCGTATCTGGGGTAAAGGTGAAAGGCAGAGTCAGTCAAAGCTCCTGGAACCTGCTTGAAGGGTTCTGGTAGGGGGCGTGGCCGCGCTGGAGCGTATATAAGGGGGACGGAACCAGAGGATCGGTGCTGTTGCAGGTCCTTGGTCTTGGCTGCGTCGCTGCTCGCCGTCATCTCTCTTCGTCGTCCGGCCACGTGGCCGATCTCCTGCAAGGATCTCATCGTCGCTGCGCTAGTTGGGCAGCTGTGTAGTTGGACGCCGACCATGGGGTTGTGTGACAGGGTCGGCTATGTGTAGCTGCGTTACTTGGATGTATCGCCCAGTGTGTTCCTGATAAATAAGAAGCCGTCTGCACGACGTGTCTCGGAAGCCGCTCACTACAAATGTATCGTGAGCGTAAGAATGGAATTTGATCTACGCCTTGTGATTGGGCAGGTAACAAGTCGCCCCCCTCCTCCTCCTGCCGCCAGCGACTCAATGAATTGGCACAGACGGGATCGTGTTCAAAGTCAGGACACGATAATTTTTTTGCGATTGTAGTCAACTTAGGGCCTCAAGAAACTCTTGCACTTTGCACGAACCAACTGCACGTAACGAATTTAACAGCCCTTTGTTAATCAACCGCTCTGGTGAATGCCTCCCCCACGCCAAGTCGGTTGTGGGTGGTTATTTGACCATACTTCACTACGCCAAACAGTGCGGGTTGGTGAAGAAGCGGAGCGAGTCCACGACCAGTTCCCATATTACTCACCCACTGATGCTAGCCCTGACTCGGGGCCAAGTCCCGGAACCATACTCAGGTCGCCGGGTTTTCAAGCACAGTATGACATGTGCTTTTAAAAATATAATGTAGTCTTGCACGCAGCGGTTGATGCATTATAATGAGCCGGAGACCCAATTTAAACCGATGAATCTTTGCATTACTATGCCCGGAAAGTCCTTTGGCTACTTTGCACTGTCAAGGTCGGGAAATGGTACGAGGCGAGAGAAGTGAAAACTGGTAAACTCGAAAGAAAAAAAACGAGGCAAATCCCAAACCAAATAAACAAATGTCGCTACCGTGTGCCATGCCTATAACCTCGTTTTAATAATTTAGCGAGAAAAAAATGGAGAAGGCGGTAATGTGACGCAAAGTAGCTTCAATTCCTGATTAAGCGTTGCTGATGGCTGTCTCCAACATTATTCACCGAGTGGAAGCTCTCGGAGGCAAGGCGATTCAACACCGAGTGTAGGCACGCGCCTCCTGCTGGCAGCTCGTGTTCATTGCTTTTCATCTCAGCTCGTCTTCCACGTGCTCATCAATCACGTTCCGAATTTTAAAATTTGTCATACGTTGCACCGTTTTGTATCTAAGCCGACTGCGAAAGTGGCCAAATATCTTCATACGGAGATAGGGCAGTGCAAATTGGTTGATTACATTTTACCCAAGAAAGTTCCGCTGATACGCAGGCCCTTCTTTTGAAATGTCAAACCGATAATTTTTTTTATATTTTAAATTGCATGTGGGAAGGAATAATTTGGTGGAGAAAACCGAAGCATAGCAGTAGAACAAACCCAAACATATAAATAAATACCGCGATATGCGAAGTAGATGCGTTCCTGGAGCTACGTTAGTTTGGATAAACTTCGTAATTTGATCATGGGACCTTATTGCCAGTATCAAAGTATGAAAAATAACGATGGGTTTTACGCTTTCTGGCAATAAAACAGGTGTTAAATATCCAAACATGAAATATAAACCTTTTGCAAGGAATTGTCTGCATTAACCACGCATACTTTGTGGTGAACGTGCAAACAAAACATGCACCGATAATATATGGCATTGTCTTTGAAACTGATTGGTCTACAGCAGAGACCGACTTCTTAAGGGCCGAGTCTCACCACCAGTGTCAGACCAGAGAAGGCCAAAAGGCGAACGCTACAAAGCCAATGCCACACGCATCAGAGAATGTAAGGGCTCGGGGTGAGCAGCTACATAGCAGCTGTAGCTGCAGAGTTGGCGCTGCAGGCACCGGAGCTCCTCCCGTGGGGTTGGAGGGTTGCGTGTCGCCGCGTCCTGTTCGGCACGGAGTGAAGCTAAACTGCTAAAAACTATTTTGTTATTTTACCAGGTAAGGCCCACTGAGAAGCGACCTGGCCACAAATGCTATCCCAATGAAGTGGCTTATCATGTGGAAATTTACAGCAGCCGAATGCTCTAAATGCATGTTTATAAATGTGCAAAGAAAAAGCATAGGTACCGGAGAAAACTCCACGCGACCACGGTAAGAACATGCAAACTCCAAACATACAGGCATTAGGGTCGAGATCGAACCCACGATCTCCTGTTATACCAGGCAAGGTAATTAACATCTCGCCACCACGAACCGACATTTTGGAACCTCAAGAGCTGGAACTTTTGGTTCCAGTCACTGGTCACTGGCCCGAGTCCATCGACTCACTGCACTTGAGGAAAATTATTAATCAACAGGTGGCTGAAATCTGGATTCGATTTCAGGATCTCAAAGTACTGGTTCATTTCTCTGAACCCGAAGCCACCTGTGGCCACAACAATCTTAATCGAATAAACGCCACTACTGTAATTAGTTTATTGTTGCGGATGAGGAGTGACCTTTCAAGTGGGGGCACATTCATCACATGACCTGCGGTGAGGTCACCTGGAAGTGGTCTCCACGGAAACTCTCAATTCGATTATTTGCCATTAATTGGATTTACCCACAAAAGGTAGCAAATTCGCGTCATTAATCATTTTTATCCACGGATAACCGTAAGGATATCCAGATTTAGGTTAAATTTTAAGGTGCGGATCACGGGGATCGGGCAGTAGCGCCCACAAATGAACGCAAGATCATGGGAGTGTTGTTTGGCGTAGTGAAGTTTGGTCGGATGGAATCGGGCTTTCGTATATCTTTTGTGGGCCGCACATTTAGAGACACACACACAGCGTTCGACAACGCGAAATATAACAACCTGCGGAATAACATCTGGATAGGGCCCTGCAGTGACAGGAATTAAAAAAAAAAACTTCAGGGCCATATTAAATTCATTCTTTCTAGCACTCGAATGGTGGCGCTTTCGTGCTTCCCACTGGCCGGGCAAAATACTGGGTGTGCTTCAATTTTTTTTTTTTAACACTTATATGGAACTATCGGTATTGTTGCAAATTCTCAGAAGTGTTAAAAAAAAAAACATTTTAAACACCCTATCTTGGCGGGGCCGTGAGCCGGCACGCAGCGAAGTCGCGGATCGCACGCGGCCCACCGCCACTTCCAGAGGCATCGTCGCACGGGTATCACGCCACATCCCGACGACAAGGCTGCCACTCTCCCCACGCGTGTACCTGGACGCTGACCTTCTCTCTGCACCGCGCGTAGCCGGCACCACGTTCTCGCCGGCGCGCTGCGGCTGCTCCTGGGGATGGATGGAACTTTACCGTCAAGATTGGAACTTTACCTGCCAGGGCTTGGTATGAAGCACCCGGTCCATAATGCTTGGCGCCCTTGCTCACGTCAAACACCTGGCCCAGGACGGCCAGGTAGAGCCCCGGGCTGCCCTCTTGACCGTCGTATCGCCCCAGCTCTGACAGCGTGAGCAGCCTCTGCTGGCCGGACGACGGCGAAGGAAAGAAGTGAGCGGGCAGCAGCTGCTGCTGTAGCCACGTAATGAGTCGTCCGGGCGGCTCAAGGCGGCTCAGCAGCAGAGCCGAACCAGCCACGCACAGGGACACTGCGAGCCACCACGAGGAGCGCATGGCCCCCTGCGATTGCGTCCAAGTGAATAACGAGCAAAATGAATACCCTGGGAACTGCGGCGCGTGGAGGGAAGGGATGGATGTACCAGCGGCTTGCGCGGACGAGTGGATGCGTCAGGGAATCGTATTGATGGAACGAAGGGATTGAACGAGGGAATGATCAGAGCGCTGCTCGACAATCACAAGACTCTGTCACTGCAGCACAGTAAACCTCGTGACAGGAGCAGCACCAGCAATGCCCCTGGGCTCTCCGTCTCGCGATGACGTTAGGTCACAACAAACGCGATGTCGGTGCGAGGCGAAACACGAACTATCCCGACACTGGCCGCTCTTGTGATTGTCGACACGTTATTAATATCCAAGCAGAGCGAAGTGCCCAATGAATGCAGCTGGCATCAATAATCAATAATTATCGTCGTGATCGCCGAGGCGACCTTCGACGTGAGACGGCACCCACGGACAAGAGGCCCAGCAGTTCCTGGTTAGATGCCCTCTTGTGGTGGAGTTGGCACAATGCACAATGCAGATCCTTACTCTTTGGTTCTATTGGGTAAAGTCACGTAGGTAAAAAATAAAATAATAAAAATCACGACGTTTCGGCCACAACACAAGCGGCCTTCATCAGGTGAAGGGACGAGACTGTCTGGAGGACAGCGCTGGAGTGAGAGAAGCCACGCTTAGATCACGACCTTTAAGCTGTGTGAGAAGAAACAAAGCGCCTTGACAAAGGAATTAGCATAGAATTTAGCATTGAAATGGCTCATTGAAATAGCTAAGTTAATGTATACACATCCGCAGAGGCACCCCTTGACAAATGATTTAGCGTAGAATTTAGCATTTAAATAGCTGAGTGATTAGCTTGTAACTGGTCACAGAAATAGCTATGTTAAAGTCAGAGCATATACATTCACCGAGGCACCTAGTACAAATCAAACAGGAGAATTTAGCGAAACACAACCACGCTCAGACCGCGGACCTTTAAACTGTGTGCGAGCAAACAAGGTGTCCTGACAAAGAAATTAGCATAAAAATTAGCATTTGATTGGCCGATTTTAGGAAAGAGGTGGTGTACGTGCCGGTGGACTTGCCGTTTGGCGCGGGGGGGGGGGGGAGTTTACCTATTGATGGTGTGAAAAGGGAATTTATAAGAGCTGCGAAAGTTTGGGGTACCACTACTTGAAAAATATACTGTACCATTGAAATTAGTTTAATGTTTAGTTCGATTTAGAACATCTTTCCAATGGTTGCTTAATTTGAAACCATCTTCTCGGTTGAAATTGTGTCTGTGTTTGTAGATCTGAATTGCCTCGTGAACAAATCTCTGATAAAAACCCGTGGGTTTGCAAAGAACCTTGGTATCGGAGAAAATTATATGGTGATCACCCACAGCGTTGTAACAGTGATCAGCCACGGCAGAAGAATTCGTTTTGCCGTGTTTCAAATCTGATTTGTGCTCGCGAATTCGGTCAGAGACATGTCGCTTTGTCTTCCCGATATAGCAATCACCGCAGGTACAACTCAATTTGTAAACCCCGGGGTACTGTAAGTCAGGAATGAAATCCTTCACGGATGGGATCAGATCACGAATTTTGTGTACTGTATTGAACCGGACCTGGACCTTGTGTTTGTTTAGAATTTTGGAAATCTTTTTAGTAACGCCTGCTATATATGGTAGTGTGATGGTTTTGACCGGAGTATCAAGTGGTTGTTTCTGTATGGAGGGAGAAACAGCTTGGCGGATGGTACGTGACTTTACCCAATAGAACCAAAGAGTATGGATCCTAGCAGTCACGAAATCTTTAAATCTAGAAATACAGATCCTGCCGCAGCGTGTGGTTTTTGTTTGCGTGTTCACCGCAACTCACAAGTGTCTGTGGTTAATGCAGACACGATTCCTTGCAAAAGGTTTCTGTTTGGTGCTGTAACATCTTGACACAAACTGCTTTATTACAATAAATGGTAAAACCTATTCTTATATTTTAAACAGCCGTTTATCATAAACAAATAAATACACGGTCCAAATACGAACTCCTCCACCCACATCGCCATCACTTCCACAGGCTGTAGTTTACACATCAACGTTTTTTGTTGACACATCCCATCAGCTACATGGCTTTCCTGTGGGTGCATATTTCAGCAGCATTGGTTCAACGAAAGCGAACCCTGGACCAGCTTTGACATTCAGTGTCTCATCAGCAGTCAGGCGTGCTTGAGCCAACGGTGGTGAGCTGCCAGCTGTTTATAGGCAATGTCCCTCTCTGCTAGATTATTCACAAGTCATTGTAAAATCCAGGGTCTCGAGACAATGGTGAAACTTAGACATTGTTATGACCAGGGACAGTTTGTTGCAAAGCAGTAATTACATTTCATCATTCACATACCTTTGTCAATCCACTGTTAGATGAAGGCCGCCTCAGGCCATGTCAGTCACGAGGGTTGTTTGACTATACTTCACCACGCAGGTCGACTGATGAAATGCAAGGAGGCTCAGGAACGTTTAATATATCGCTTGCCTCTGACGTTCGCCGTGGTATCCAAATCAGATTGTCAGTTTAACACGTAGGCATTCGCGACCAATATGATCCATTATAGAGGTTTTTTTGAAGTTAGATCTTGTAAATATAAAATGTGTCTTTTTGATTTAAAGCTTTCGTGACTGCAGGGATTCATATTCTTGGTTCTTTCGGTAAAGCCACGTAGAAGGGAAACAATAAAATAATACAAATATAAAACAATACAATTCTCACGACGTTTCGACTGATGATGATTGCTTGTGTTGCAGTCGAAACGTCGTGAAAATGTTATTGTTTTATATTTTTATTGTTTCCCTTCTACGTGACTTTACCGAAAGAACCAAGAATAAATGTGTTGTTAAAACCCGCCACCACAGTCAACTAGTAAGGGCTGTCACGTAAACAGAACGTGCCAATTCGTCACTAGTACAGCACGCCGGTGTGTTGGAGAGCCGAGCCACAACATTTACAATCTGAGTACGACGTTTCGCCAGTGATGAAGCTAGTTGTAATTATTCAACTACAGCATAGAACTCTCCTATAATAATTATTTCACACCTACTCCAATCCCTGCTCAGATTACAACACAGACCCACACCCTCAATGACATTATGATATTTACGTCTAAAGACTGAAGGGTTTCATAGATAATACTTAGAGGCAGTAATTAAGCACAACGCTTCGTGTGTAGAGGACGGTACAATGATTTTTTATTGCATTAAACATGATTGAAATTTCCAGCCGTTCTGAGATCAGTCATGTTCAATGGACCTGCTGTTGTTAAAAGCCAGAGAGCAAATACCGCCTTCAAACACTCACCCCGCACTGTGCAAAGAAAACGGCGGCGTGGGATCGATTAGACACGAATGCCTTCACTCAAGCTGATACATTTAAAATCACAAATTCAAACAAACGGCGTGTCTCCTTTCCATGTAATGTCTTAGTTTTATGTGCACTGCCATGCTTGTTTTGTCTAACCTTTAACCGACCTCCAAAATATTTTAACAGACCTTGTCTAACGTCTATAAATATAATTTATTGGATATCAGCAATTTACATAGTTAATGACATTGCTTATAACAACACATGTGTGAGTCAAAGCTTCACTACATTTTCAAGCCCAATGGCGTGCCTGAACATCAACTGACTTAAATCTTGACTTAAAGCTTTCGTGACTACAGGAATTCATATTCTTTGGGTCTTTCGGTAAAGTCACGTAGATAGGTAAAAAAAATAATGAAATAAACAAAAAACTACGCCGTCTCGATCGTTTATTTTATATATATATTTTTTAACCTATCTACGTGATTCTAGATTTGAAAGACAAAGAATATCCACTGTCTTGTTTGTGATACTATTAAAGTGAGCATATAATGGTAACTTCCGTATGGATTTGGAATTCATTTATTTTCTGAACGATTTAATGAAAGCAGACACAATTTTTTTTTTTATTCCAGATTAATAATTGTTTGCCCTAAAGTTTTAAAATGTTCAACATAAAACTGACACGTGCGGCGATGACTCCACTGTGAGACGGGGTTTCCCTGCGCGTAAATTGACCGACTGTTTGCAGAACCCCGCTAGCTTCCCGTGAATTTGCTTACTTCTATTTGAGCAAAAACATAGCAACACGGTTTGCATTGCTTGTTGCTCGGCAACTAAGCACAGGTGTGAAAATCCGTATAGAATTACGGTGCACAATGACGGAGGTGGAGGTAGAATTATATTGGTAACCATGGGAAGGTTGCCTTTTAAATGAATTCACTCGGAGCCCGGCTATTTACCGTGCCGGTCGCGCTCACATTCACAACCCCGCGGCGTCCGTCTCCCGCCATGGAGAAGCGAGCCACGAACTCGGCGCAGAAGGCACAGAAAGTCCAATCGGCCAACTGGAAGGAGGAGATGATCCTCAAGAAGCGGCTGGACACCCTGGAGAATTTACGTCGGCAGGTCGTGAGCTCCATAACGCTCGACCAGAGGGCCACCTACAACCGCTTTCGCGTCAAGCTGCAGCGCTCCGAGCTCGCGTCGGCTCGGCTGCTCGGCCACCCGCACGGGGCCAGCGAGTCGCTGCGAGCCGGTGGAGCTGGCGGCTACCAGCTCCACGGGAACGACGGCGGTGCCCAGGTGGCCATCAACGCGCTGCTGCTGCTCCTACTGCAGCAGCAGCAGCAGCGTCCCGTCAGCGCTCCGGCCGTGTCCTCGACAATTCGCCAGCCCCGGGTGGACTCGACGCCGCGGCCGCCTTCGCGAGTGACGGGGCCACCTCCACCACCTCCCCATCCGCCTGTGTCCGCACAGCCGCTAAGAGCGCGCCACCGTGCCCAGGACGTGCGGCCGCTCCCTGCGTTGGTCGAGCAAAGTGACGACGGCGGAGGGCGATGTCGCGCGGGCAGGCCGGGGACTGCTCCGCAGAGGACGGCTGCTCGCAAGCGATCTTCGCCGTGGAGAAGGCCGCGTCCTGTCTCATCTTTGAACGTCGCTGGGACCGATATGGACACTGCCAACTGCAAGGTGCAGCATTCTTCGTTGGGAGCCGGAGTGACACGCGTCAAATTCTCCACAAACAAGGTGCCTGAAGGTGAGCTCGGTGGACATGCTTCGGGGTCGGAGCAATTTCAAAATATGCCACGAGAACAGAAGGTGATCACGCCTGGGTCCTCAGGCATTGATAAGACTCTGGATGCAGCTTCACCTCCGGTGAAACAGAAAATGAGCCAGACCGGTGGCCCTCAAAGTAAAGCATCCATTCAAGAATGTGGTGGTGGTGGTGGTAACATCGGAGGAGCGATGCGTGTGTTTCTCCAAAACGTGAAGCCTACGGGGCCCAGTGCCGAGGAAGCACTGGCACGGCTACGACGTGGGCAAGACGTAGAGAAGGAGAAGCTGAAAGCCTTTGCGGAGAGGCTGCAGCCATTTCAGGTCCCCGCAGAGCTAATGCGTGAGCTGGAGACTCCGTGGATACACCAGGCCACGTCCACCAGGGTGGGCGAGCGTGCGACGCTTGAGCCAGAGGAAGAGCTGAGCAAGTGGATGGTCGTTGGCAAGGAAGCCAATTCTAGAAGTCTCAACATTCGAGCATCGGACCGCACGGTATCACCTTGTGAATTCTCCGCGGAAATGTTGTTTGTGGAATTTTACAATGCTTCCCTGACGAGGGAAAACTGGGAGGAAAGAAAGTGGTTTAACAACGACCCTTACACACTTGTCAACTGAACCTGTAAGCTGTAATTTACCTCGCTTTACGACGACAGCTAACAGCGGGCATCAGGTGCGTCGTAAGCTGAAAAGGACAAAGGTCTGATTTTATTTTTTCAGCGTAAAGGTGCGGGGAGTAGAGTTCATGAGTTGTTAAATTCAATTGTCGAGACGAGAAGAAGTTGCCTCCACAATTATGAGGTGGATGCCTCGTTACGAGGACATACACAATATTCAGCCTTTTGCTCTGTACAGCGTTGTGGACCTTGCAGGAGAAAACCCATCGACTCTAAAACAGTAATTATGTTCGCTTCGCAATTAGCCTAGCAGACGATGGTGTTAGCCTGAATATTTTTTCTGTACGTTTGTAATAAATATACTATTTCACTTAACCCAGAGTAAATACTACTGAATCAGTATTGGATAGATTTCTGAACTTTGTGATGGCATCGGTGCTTTTAAATACAATGTAGAACATGCAATGTATCTTGATTTGAAGCTTTCGTGAAGCGGGAATCCATACTCATTGGTTCTTTCGGTAAAGTCACGTAGGTAGAAAAATAATAAATCACGACGTTTCGATCGCAACGCAAGCGACCATCATCAGGTGGAACAGATACAGCAGGCAGTTCTCCTGCTGACGGTCGCTTGTGTTGCGATCGAAACGTCGTGATCTATTATGTTTCTACCTACGTGACTTTACCGAAAGAACCAAAGAGTATGGTATTACACTTATTGAGTGGAGTTATTTTTATTACATTTCTAATGGGCCACTCTTGCTCATGTGTTGACGCAGTGTGCTCCTCAGTGAACACTTAATGTCTCGAAATATCTTACGGTACATATTTATTCCTAATAATTAGCTGATTTCATGAAAAACACATGGCTATTTCAATTCATTGCAGCGCTATGATAAGAGTGTTAAACAATGGATCAAAATGATTCATATAAAAATTAAGCAAAGGAGGGGGGTTTGGGGGGGGGTGGGAGTGGTGGCGCAGCAGTTCGCACACTGCGCTATGCTACCCGAGTTTGATTCCTGGCCACGGGAATCGAACTCAGGTGAAGGCTAACGTCAGCGCTGAGTGATATCTGTACAGATCATTGGCCCCTCACTTCACCAACCTGCATTAACTCGTTTAGGAAAAGCAAAAGGTCAAATAACCCAACGACTAGCACGGCGTGGGGAGGTTTCCGTCCAGCAATGGACACACCGCCTGTAAATGTCTACTCTAATCACCCAGGAATGTCAGTCCTTAACGCTCGTGGCGTCACTCCACATAGACCAGCCCCCCTCATTAATATTCATGAACAGGTGACGTCCTCCACATGGACCTCCCCACCTCATTAATAATCATGAGTAGGTGACGTCACTCCACATTGAACAGCCTCCTCATTAATAATCAATATAAGGTGACGTCCTCCAAATGGACACCCCCCCCTATTAATAATAATTAGCGGCTGACGTCACTCCACATGGGGGGGGGCGAGTCGCCTCCTCCCCCCTCCTCGGCGTCAACTCACAACCCTCACTACAAAGGCAGAACCCTCACGTCACGTGATCTCCGTAACGCTGTTGTTGAGACATAGAAGTAAAAAGGACGTCATGATGAACACGGGATTATAACCTTTACATTAAATAGGTCTCTGTCACCGCGCCCTTACAAATTGCACACGCATTGATGCAATGAATATATCACGTCGCGGTCTGCTTTTCGCTTGCAAGTTTCAGATTCACTGCAGTACCACCCGTCCTTGGACGGGCAAAAGGCGAGTTGTTATTATTAAGCAATACCAAAATAATCTTGGGGGAAATGTTTAAGTTTCATAAATTATCCAAGCTCGAGAACTCCCAGAGTAACGAGCTGTGCGCTGTCGTCAGCTCGCGATGATCGTGGGTGCTAGGGGGGGGGGATAAAAACAAAACACGGATGACGCAAGACGCGTGTAAAATAGGGGGTACAACATATGTATGGTTTACTTGTGTGGAATGAGAGTCAAGATGTGTAAAATGCGATCAGTTGCCACTGCTTATGAATCGGCTTGCTTGCACAGACCATCTACGAGTGTGGAGGAGCCCCTAATAAGTAAAACCAGCATCTCAGTCAAGATATTTTATTTTCCGAAAGCATCGACAATTCGCACCCACAGATAATCGAGCGTTAACCATATTTTCATACGCTTTTTGACAACTTGGATGTAAAATGATGTACAATGCCAACAGTGAAATAAAAACACGTTTTACTTATTACAACATGAGCCAATGCGGGTTTTAACATAACACACAATTGCTTTTATGTGCACACGCATAAGCAAACCAACAGCTCAATTGGTGGTGTTTTCCACAGTGAGATTATGTCAGAGGCCTTGACAAAAGCTATACCATGAACTGAAATCGGCTTCCACGTGACGAAGCAAAGAGCCGGCGGCTCAATATAAAACAGGATGGCAAGCCTCACAAAATGTGCACATGCAAATATGCAAATATTCCGACAAATGGATGAACACGTTGGGTATGCACAATAACAACCAGGGGGCATGCGCCCTAATACGCAACGCACCGACTGCAGTGTTACGCAACGTAACGTTAACTTTGAGAAAAAGATCGTTTGAGAGCATTTCATTGCAAATCTTTTGCAAAAGATATCGTGTCTTTTTTTTAAATCACCAAATCACGCGGAATGCACCCGATCTCATCAAGAGCCGAAAGCTAAGCAGGGTTGAGCCTGGATAATGCTTGGATGGGCGACCACCGAGCATGACACCGGTGTCATAGGCTGCTCTGAGATTGCACTGTCACCATAGGGCAGTGCAGCAAAAATGCCCCTCGCATTCACCAACGGGCACTGACCAGCATGGCGAATCGCGGTCAAGTAACCCCCACGACCTGCACCACGTGGGGAGGCCTTCATCCAGCTGTCGATTGAAAACAAAGGGCTAGACGTGTACAGCATTGACTTTGTAGCAATCGGTTTACAAGTTCTCGTTTTTGTCTAAACAGATGCACAGACAAACAACAAGTTGTCTTGGAAAAAAATTACAAAATCAACAAAACTTGGGCATAGGTGACGCTCGGCATAATGGAATGAGGGTCCTTTACCCACTCCTTCCCTGCCCCGCATGTGAACACTGGGTTCTCATGAGAAGTTGATGAAATCAAACTCGCGGCGCATGGGCAGGGTGAGCTCCAGGGTCTGCGTGTCGCTCACGAAGCGCGCGTGGCCCTCCTTGCTGTGCACCGCGTGCGGAAGGTGCAGCCCCAGTTTGCTGCGAGCCGACGGCGAAAAGGGAGCCACAGAAACGACAATACATGAGAACACAGTACCCAGGAGGCGGGCTCCTTCATGGCTCAGGTGCTCTGACGACAGCGTCAGCAACCATACGATGACGTCACGTGCATTTTTGACGAAAGGTCGGTGTGGTTGCAATTTGCTTGCGTCGGGGTACAAATTTCGAAATTTCAAGAATTATCCGCAAATTACTCAATTGGGATTATACACGCAATCATTGCCCCCCCCCCACTCCTCCACTGGCGCACGAATCGCGCAGGTCACTACTGCAAAAGAGACTACCCTTAAACCGCAGGAAAACTCCAGTGAAATGTGACCATCATCAAACCAAGTGCAGGTGATCGCGTTTCCCAGGTGAGTTAGAGAAGAGACCAGATTGTGAATGGACCACACACGGCTCACCGTAGCCATGTGATTTAAAGTACTCTAATTATTTAGCACGTACCCAGAAATAAACTCCAAAACATAACTCGAATGCATTTACATTATATCCAGAGAGGAAATGTTCAAATAATACACATGCCGTGCTAACGCATCAAGACTAAACCAAATTGAGGACTTTTCCCGAAAAATTTGAAATTGAATTATTTTAAATTATCTAAGTTAATGAAATAGCCAGACTGATTTTATAATTACACAATTTGAAACAATTCAAAGACAAAGTTAATCAAAAACAAAAAATGAAACGTTGGTGCTAAAAACCACGTGTAATTATAATTGAGGTGCCTGTGTAAATGGCATTCGGTATATCCAGTCACAGGTGACAACACAGCACTGTATAAACACACATCACTGTGGTGCTGAGTAAACATTGCAAAGCACTAAAGACCCAAAGAGTCATAAAGAAACACACTTACTATGTATCTGTCCTCACATCCAGGAACGTATCATGAACGTCCACCGTAATGTCAGCTGATCTTGAGCCTGGAAGCTTCACCTTGATCTGTAGACATCAAAATACAAAGTAGAGCTGCAGCTGCCGGCATTACAGTGACAATAAAACAATGTGCCGAACAGTGGGCCTTCTCGCCACATTCACACAAGCAATAGATTTCACGCAGGGGCAGCCTTTATAGTTTTTTTTTTTCATATGGATAATAGTCATGAATGTAAGTGACAAGAACAAATCAATCACTATAAGAATGATAAGTGGAACAATATTGCTGGATTTCAGATCAAAGAATATCATGGAGCTTTTTACTTAACCGACGATTGATATTGATTTAACATATGTTTGGAATGATTGAACATGTGGCCGAATGATGAATGGTGTTTACTGAAGAGTCATGAGGGTTTTAAATCACCGATGAGTGTTGTATCACAATGATAGCAGTGGCGTCTTTTACGAACCAGCATGTCTTCACAGCAGGCTGAGGAGGAGTCCTTTCTTCCCATCCCCAGGAAAATGTCCTCTGTCCCAACCTTCTGCTTGAACAGCACTTCATATCTGTGAATGCAACACGTGTCCCAAGTATGAGATAAGCAAAGCACAATTGTGAGCAGGTAGAGCCCCCACTGCAATGCAATGCGGGAGTGGTGATTTTCGCTGTTGAAATATGTGTCGCAATAATAAGTAATTAATTAAGCTGATGGACAAAAAACACATTTAGACCCACAACCAATGGGCCTTTCTGAACAAATGTTGTGCAGGATCCTTCATATGTAAGTTGTTAAACACACTTGCAAAGTATCTTTCTTCTTATAGCTTATTTTACACAAGCCAATGCTTTTTTTCACCACTCCTATTACTTCAGACAAATAACATTTTATTAGTCTTATTGGTCACCCTGGGAATCACGGAGTCGACACACGTGGACTATCATTGGGTATTTACAGTCCGGGTGTTAAAGAATAGTGTGAGGCTTTGAAATGCAAACGGGCTGTAACGATGTTTGCGTCATCTGGTCCTGAGTGGCCAGTGCCGGGATGCACCACGTGAGGAATCGGTGCACTCGGTCACGAGAAAATCTATCCGCTACAGTGCCACGCTGTGGTTCTGGAAGCTGCTTGGAGTTAAAATGCACGCGGAGACTGAAACCCTGCCCTCTCTATTCTTAGCATTACATATCTTGGTACCTGTGGGAGCTCACGTTATGGTGTGTTATATTTCATTATTTAAATGAAAACGATTGCATGCTAAATTGTGAGTGATGCAATCAGATTGTTCGTTTACATTCTGTAACATGTCAGATTTGTATTTTGTAAATGCTGGACGATCGTACGTAAAAATAACATGGAGAATCAAGAACACGGCTTGGCTGAGTATGATTCCTGTGTGTGATAGATCCGGGCACGTTGGATGTTGACATTCGTCCACCCACCAAGACCTAGGCCACTAGGTGCAGCCATCCACACTCACACACACATTAATAATCTCGCACTATTGTGACCTCCAACCGTCAGGGCTATGAAGAAGTCAATAGACGGCAGTTCTGCAAGTAGGTTGCTGACCTGTCTGGATGCATTTTCACATTTTTAGCTTCTCATGCGTCTGTTTTCCTGGATATACTTCAGTGTCTTGCCACATGCAAAATACGTGTTTAGGAATTAGCAAGGCAATTGAACGAGCATCCTGAAAAAGTCTTGAGACTGCGAGGCTTTCCGGTAGAAACAACTATCATGAATAAATGATGTACAGTTGGGAAGAGGGCTTCATGACAAGTAGCATTATGGCGTAAATACAGTGTTCTGAATCTCAAGGGAACCTCCAACTATTGGATTCAGGCAGCTGCAAGATCATTACACAAACGAGCAGCGCCATTCAGCCATTCGAACCACTTGCACATGTGCAAATCACAACAACATCATTAATAATTTAAACAAGAGGACGCGTTAAGATAAAAAAAGCTTACGTGAACCTTCATGGCCAGGAAATTAGGAGATATAGTTGTGTAAAAACAAATACAACTGAAGGGATGGTCTGTTACTAAATGCCTTACTAAGCTGACATGAGTACAGTTGAAATGCAACGACTGCCAAGGCAGCATGAAGAGCTGAGATGTTGTTCTCGTGTAGTTTATTTTTTTCCATGGTGACTGTGAGGTGGACCTGCACAGAGAGGTCCATTTTTAATTTAGTACCTCTTTGGTTGCTGCAATTTCTCCGCTTAATACATCTGATCCAGCTGGGGCTCGGCTTGATCTTTGTGAGAGTACTCGTGACCATTTCCCTGGAAATGGACTCCACTTCTCCTTTAGATGCCCATTTATCATCCAGATATAAGCACCAACCTTCTTGCACAGAGCCAGCACTGTATTGCAGTGAACACAGCCTCTTTAGAGCACCCCTCATAGAACGGATGTGAATTTCTATAAGCAAGGCTTCAGGGCCATGAAGCAGAACTGTTGCAATCATCATTTCACGGTACTGTCCTCCCATTTCCTTTGTGTCAATACAATCATTTTATAAAAAGCGTCACTGCATTTTCTTTATATTGTTACCGATAAATAGGGAGTAACATTTCGTTTAACAGACATTTATAATAACTGTATAATTCGTTCATTCAAAATGACATCCGTGACACAACCATGAGATTTGATATGGCTGACTACATAGACTCAAGCTCATCAAAGGGTCCCGAACCTTTTTGCTGGACACAACAAACTCTGAGGAAAATAAAATTACAACTAAACAGACATGGTTCTGTTTCATCACCAAGCAAGGCAGAGAAGCAATGCCTATACAAGGATTCTGCATGCGTTTGTCTTTGGAAGTGTTTAATTGGCGATAACAATGTTACGTTCCAAGTCACACGAGATGGTATCATATACCGCATGGCAAGACGTCACAAGATCATTATGACGTGTTCTGACGTCATAGGGAGACAAGACGATTGCATAACTTGTGACGTCGTCGCCTCGGTTGACAAGGCTTATCGTTGGTTTCAATTGACAAGATTCGGGCATCTCTTTCATGAACGTAGTCAGTTTTATTTGGGGTGAGTTCATCATCGCAAAACGACTTTATAATAAAAAGTAGATTATGCTGAATCATCATGACGAGTTATTACAAAACTAATACATGAATGCCTTCAAAGTTAATTGGAAATTGTTATAAATAAATTAAGGAATATTTAGCCCCATCAAATAAAAGTCAAAAGTTTTCCAGGCGCAATAATTTAAGCAGGCGAAGTCCGTGTCAGTTTCAGGTCGATGAGTCTCACCCACAGCGAGTGGCCTTTTGAATATGTTGAACAATTAATCCGCTATCTTGGCGAGCAGAGAGGGCTTACTCGGGCTGTAGCCGGTGGTCAGGAGTGTCATCGTACTGAGGCCCAATTGGAACCTCGTCCTCATCCCAGATGTCCTTTGAGCTGTTTGGCTTAACAGTGGCACCTTTTGGAAATAGGTACATAAAACCAAAGAGCAACATTTCATAAGCATGAGTGTCAAACCAATACACACAGTACATATGCAATAATCTAAACGATAAACTATTGCAATTTTACCAGGTAAGGCCCACTGAGCTATATAGCTATTTTACAGCAGCAACCTGGTCACAAATAATAGCTCAACGAAGTGGCTTATCACGTGGAAATTTATTGCAGTCAATTACTCTAAACGCATGATTCTAAATGTGGAGGGAAAAACCGGAGGACACGGAGAAAAATCTACGCGGCCATGGGGAGAACATGCACACTCCAAATATACAGCAGGTGTCGGGGTAGGGTTCGAACCCATAACCTCCTGTATACCAGGCGAGGTAGTTAACATCTCGTCACTACTGGAATCAAGGTCTCCCTCAGAATCAAATGACAGTAAAGTACCAATGTTAACCAACCAAATCACAAATGAATAAATATTGAAGGATCCCTTTTATGAATCCACTGCTGAACAAGGGCCTCCTCACTTCTTGACCACACTGGTCAGTGCGGGTCGATGACGGTGGGAAGCAAAGACGTGGACACACAAGTCCCTGTACAGGACAATGGATTTTGCTGCACTGTCCTCGACTGCTGAACACATAGGACCACAGTCCTCTCTATGACAACTTGCTGGTGTATGGTGTTTTCCCACCCATCCAAGCACAATCCAGACTCAACCTGCTTACATTGTAAAAATGTGACAAAATTGGCTAAATTTGGGATGATTGGGCCACAGGCAACAGGGACTGTTGCCGTTTTATTTTTTTACAATTTTGGCAAATAAAAAAACATCTTCCCTTAAGTGTGATATACAGGGTGGCCCGAAAGTCAGGAGATAGCGGGTTATTTAATTTATTTTAACACTGGAATTAAAATAGTTTATATTTTATCTGTTATAATTATTCATGTATATTTGTGTTCTTCCTGTGGGTCAACTCAAATTCGTCGTTTACAAAACGTGATCAGTAGCTCTTGAATGAATTGAGACAAAACACAACTGACGAATGTTCAAAGATTACACCTATAATCTTTTAAAAAAGTCATGAATTCAATTATTAAAACAATGTATGCACGCATTAATGTTCATGGAAGTCAGTTTTAACATTTGTTAACATAGATTTAATAATCCTGCATGTCCTGACCTTTGGGCCACCCTGTGTATATTGTGTGTGTTGCTCAATGACAGTTCGATCGGTTCAAATGGAAACGAAACTGACTGGTTTTGGGCTCCTTCTTTGCTGGTCCAATGTCCCCTGGACCCAGACGATTGAGTGATGACACACGCTGCAGACACAGAGAAGAGACGTAAACGACAAAGAATCACACAATGAAAACAACGCCAAGATCAAATTGTTAGCTTGTTATACTCTGGGGTGAGTGCCTATTATGGAAAGCTTGGCACACGAAATTGTTTATGGTCGTGGCTAAGAATGAGGCTGTTATGACCTTGCCTTAAAAGGGAAAGTGTTCACTGAAACACTGCCCGATGAATTACACAATGAAAAGCAAGTGCAGGACCAATAATTAAGCCTCATTCTGTCCATATGACTGAGCCCAAACCCCGCAGAAACCTCAATATGCCTTAAGTCTCCCCCTCTGATTTGTATTATGTACAATGTTATTATTACCCTTGTTTAACTAGGAAATCCTCGCTGACCCTAATGACTATTATTCATGAGGGTCATGCAAAGTAGTGGCAGTAGCGGCTGATGATCTACGATGTAGATTCCGAATGAGTAATTTGTGGATAGGAAGTGTATTTTTTTTTCCTTTCAAATTTCGCAAACTTTGGACTGCCTTTTTTGCTGCCTTGCCCAAGATTCAATTTGGTGTTGAAATATCGGCAGAAATTTATTACTTATGCAATTTGTTCTTCGTATTTTTTTTATTTTTACTTAGCGACTTGCTTAGGTTGCCTATACTTTAGTTTTTTCATTGTTTTTGTTGTTGTTGTAACTTTCTGACCTCGTGCCACGACTGGACATCTGTGAAAAAGGAGCGTCAGATCTCATCGGATTCTTCCAGTATAAATACAGACTGGAAGAAGCTGAATAAGGTCCCGGGATCTTCTTTAACATCTGCTGTAAAGCAGGCGGCGGCTTAACATAATCAATTGTGGTTAATACACACCTTGGTACTAATCAGGGCAGCCGCTGGATTCGAACCGGGAACTTTTTTGAATCAGAATATTTATTGATACTGGAGGAATCCGATGACATGTAAAGCTATTTTTAACTGGAATCCGATGAGCTGTATAACAAAGAGCTTTACAGATCATCGGATTCACAGAGGTTAAATAAGAGCTTGATAGCTCATGGGATTCACAGAGGTTAAACAAGAGCTTGATAGCTCATGGGATTCACAGAGGTTAAACAAGAGCTTGATAGCTCATGGGATTCCTCCAGTATACATAACCATTCTGATTCCGTGCCTCAATCGACGAAGGCGCTACTCTAGGCCCGACCGCCGCCAACGAGACGCCCCCAGCCTCCCATCGTCCGTCTGCCACCGGCTCTCTCTCTCTTCAGCAGAGGGCGCCTCATTTCATTCTCGTCTCACCTCTTCTCCTTCGTCGTCGTCGTCGTCCTGCCGGGAGCCGGGCCCAGCAGCCAGGAGGCCGGCGAGAGCCGCGATGTCGACCGAGGAGAATCCCAGCTCCGCCATGCGGCACCACAGCAGAGCGTCTCTCTCTCTCTGTGTGCGCGCGCGACCCTGTCGCCACGGCAACGGCGTCTCTCTGCGAGACGCTGTCGCCAAAGCAACGGCGTCTCTCTGTGCCCGACGCTGTCGCCACGGCAACGGCGACTTGGGGCGGTGTTGCCACTACAGAGGGAATTTTTCCTCTCCCCCACACCCAGGTTTTTTAAATATATATTTTTTATATTTATCTGCGATCTAGTTCATAGTTCATCTCTCTGGCATCGATAACTATTTGTTTGACCAGGCAAGACCCACTGGGCCTATATAGCTAAACTCAACTACTTAAAATTGTCTTTGTATAAGGTGGTAAGGGGTCGTGCATAAATGACGTCACGCACCTCGGAGGGGGGGGTGTCAGACATTTGTGACGAGGGGGGGGGGTGAGAAATGTGACGTCACATCAAAATGCGCAACTTTAAATAAATATAGACAACACGTTCTACTTAATTAAATATAATTGTTAATAAATGTTTTCTCCTACAACATCAGAGTGCAGCGCCACATTAAATACGCACTACAATGACAGTAGTTTAAAGAGATTTGAAGCATGTTTTATTTTTGGGGCGGGGGGGGGGCAGAGCTTTGTGACGTCATATTTGAGGGGGGGGTGTCTGACTTTTTGTGACGTCGTGTGACTAGGGGGGGGGGTCAAAAATCGTCAAAAATCGCGTGACGTCATTAATGGACGGCCCCTAAGGCCCACTAAGCTTAGTAACTCTCGTTTCAGAAGCGACCTCGCTCTCACAAATTGTTTTAATTTGTGAGAGCCATAAGCGATGTATTTTAGTAATTTATGGTTTAAATTGAGATCCCTTCCCTGTATAACTCACTTATCCTCCGCCATTCCCAAGTCAAGGGTCGTATATACTGACCCAGTAGCATATCTTGGAAACTAGAGCCAATCAACAATTTTAAGCATCATTTTCATTCTCAGTGACCCAGAATTCGTAATGTTGGACTACATTTATTTCGGAAGCATTTTGGCTGTAGACCATTGTGTTATCGATAGCTCAACGAAGTTGACTCGTTATCATCACCGTGTGGAAATCTGTCGCGGCCAAATAGTCTGAGCGGGTGATGTCAATTCTCAACGTGGAGGGGAAACCCCGGAGGAGCCGGAGAAAAATCAACGCGACCACAGGGAGAGAGACACGAAAATCCCAAACATACAGCAGCAGCAGCAAGCATTGTCAGGGTCGGGATGGAACCCACGACCTCCTGCACACCAGGCGAAGTAGTTAACATCTCCTAGCCACCGTGATGATGATGATGAGAGAGACGCAGACTCCCAAATATACATCAGCAGGCATCATCAGGGTCGGGATGGAACCCACGACCTCCTGCACACCAGGCGAAGTAGTTAACATCTCCTAGCCACCGTGATGATGATGATGAGAGAGACGCAGACTCCCAAATATACATTAGCAGGCATCATCAGGGTCGGGATGGAACCCACGACCTCCTGCACACCAGGCGAAAGAGTCAACATCTCCTAGCCACCGTGATGATGATGGGAGAGAGACGCAGACTCCCAAATATACATTAGCAGGCATCATCAGGGTCGGGATGGAACCCACGACCTCCTGCACACCAGGCGAGAGAGTCAACATCTCCTAGCCACCGTGATGATGATGAGAGAGAGAGAGAGACGCAGACTCCAGATACACAACGGGCGTCAGGGGTAGGGATCGAACACAAGACCTCCGGTATACCAGGCGAGGTAGTTAACATCTCCTAGCCACCGTGATGATGATGATGAGAGAGAGACGCAGACTCCCAAATATACATCAGCAGGCATCATCAGGGTCGGGATGGAACCCACGACCTCCTGCACACCAGGCGAGAGAGTCAACATCTCCTAGCCACAGCAGCGTCCCTCTTTACTGTGAATGGCCATTACGCGAAACGTCGCCTATTACACACTTTTAAGGCAGTGCTAATTGACGAATGTGTTTGATTCCTACTCGTGCACCACTGCCAACGCAGACTTTTCAATTTGAGCTGTACAGTAATAAGTTAACAAAGGAGTCTATGAAAGACTCCTTTAGAGGCTGTGGTTATTTATAGTTATTTAGATATACACAGAGGGATGATGTATTTATATTTACACACACAGCGGGATGATGTTACAATAATGCCTAGTGTGCTAGGCAAAGCTGCCCGATTGACGGCATTAACCACGGTAATCCAGATTTGATTCCTTGCAAAAAGGTTTCTATTTTGTGTTGTAACATCTGAACACAACTGTTTTATTGCCAGAAAGGCTAAAATCTATTCTTATTTTTCATATTTTTGTCGTGACGTAAATGGTGTCACTAGGGTGTTCGCGCCAGCTACTGCTACAGGAGTGCAACAGTGCGTCTGGAGCCTCTCTCCAGCACCAGAGTGAGTACGGCGTGTCAGCCAGCCCTATGGGGCATAGTCCTGCCGATGTCCTGAGAGAGATGGGCAAGTGAGCACGTGGTGGCCTGAGTGGGGCACGTGATGCTGGGTCGGGATCCTTCGGGAAAGGTCTCGAAGGGGGCGTGGCCGAAGGCGGAGCGAGGCCACGCCCAGGAGCATCAGGGGGCAATCCCGAGCGTGTTGTGGGCTCGTCTGTGGAATCAAGCCTGGGGTCCCGCGTCTCGTCGTCTCTGGGTCTTTGTCTCGAGTTAACTCGCTACTCGCATCGTTAGCCACATCACCTGCTACCCGAGTTACGTTCAGTGTTACCCGCTAGGGAAGTTGTTAAATAAAGGTGTTGCCACCCAGTCCAGAGTGTGTACCTTCGTGTTGAACACAACACTTTGATACTGGCAAAAAGGTCCCATGATAAAACTGCTCACCCCCAGCTATAAATGCTCTTATAGTGCATTGTCTTTGTGCTGTTCGCCTTTCGGCGTCCTCTGGTCTGACACTGGTGGCGAGACTAGGCCATGAAGAAGCTTGCTATCTCTGGTGCAGGCCAATCAGTTTCAAAGACAATGCCATACATTCTAACCAGAGCGCGTTGACTTGCATGTTCACCACAAGTACTGTGTGGTTAATGCAGACTTGATTCCTTGCAAAAGGTTTCTATTTGGTATTTGAACATCCTGTTTTATTGCCAGACAGGGTAAAATCTATTGTTATCCACTGCTGGATGAAGGCTTCCCCACATCACCACCCCCTCAGTGTCTTGGAATGCTACGCCTAACATAAACACGTAAACAAATGTCTTCGTTCAATCTCGTCTTTTCTATCCACTGCTGGATAAGCTCCCTATGCGTTTATCAACCACCATGGGCTTGTGAAGACACGATTAATCTCAGTACTGTGCATTCGCTGATCTCATCACCCCAAATTTGCGGTGGTCATCCTCTGTTGATTCGTTGGCTGTCATTCCATCACCATGATGTGTCCTACCCAAGCACACTTTTTAAAGTCAATGTGATGTCTATTAAATTGGTTTCCCCATAAATGTGTTCCAACTTTCTTAAGAGTACAGTATATCCGAGCACACATCTCTTAGCTACTTGGCAGTCTGATGTGCAATGCTAGATGCACATTTCCCAAACTTTCGATATATTAGCTTTGCATTTCCAAGATCCGACTTAGCGTATGTTAAGTGGCTCCCCCGTGAGACATACAGAACACAACGGAAGAGACGATCAGTGAAAATTTTATATTATTTTATTCTCCGGTTACACAGTCACAATGCGACAACTGTGATAAGACACTCCTCTGTGTCTGTCTCAAAAGCAAATGTGAAAATAGCCAAAAACACCAGACAGATGCCCTTTCAAACAAAATAATAAGATAACAAAAACACATGGTTCATATTGATGTATTAAAGATTGCCAACAGGTTTTGAGAAGTGGATACTAAACACAGCTGCACATAGCTAATGCTGGGCTGACTTTAAAGCCCCATTAATTACGGAATAATAACATAATTTAGAGGGGTGGTTATAGTCAGTGCATGCATATGTTAGTATCATGTTGTCGAAACCCATTGACCGTTTCTCGCATGTTCTAATTATACAAGCAGTGACAAGGCTACTAAATAAGCTGTTATTCAACTTGTAACAATGTACAACGTAGCTTACACCGTATACTGAAAACATTCCAGTACACTTTTGCACCATAGATTGCAATTTAGTTTTATACACATATATTCCATCAGTTTATTTTTTGAAATTATACAATACGTTACCTTACCCTAAATTTCAGTTGGTTGTTATTTTGTGTATGAGACATTAAAGAGTTATACACAGCAGGGGACAAGCAAGAGTACAAAGTACTGTATATATCTGTCGGAGTGAAACTTCGATTGTTTTAGTCCGGTCTGCAAACAGCCAGTCACAATTGCTCATGACCTGCATCCACATCTTGAAATCCCAAGTCTGCCACTACTTACTTAGCAATTCAGCAATCTATTACATTAAACCGGCCAAGGACAAACCACCTAAATGTGTTAATGCATTATATAATATACGCTACAGTGGCCTTTAAAAAATATGCATTGAGGCCAATGTTGTTAAACTACAGAATGGAATACGATTCTCAAAATTACGTGAGCGAGTAGTCATCGGTGAAAGAAAACACTTCATAATTTAAGCAAGTAAGTTTTAACAGCTGTCCCTAAAGATGCATTGGTGTGTAAAAAATAAAACATTGTCAGAACGTTATTTTAAAATTATATGCTGTGAAGGGTCAGTGACCCATTTCACCTTAACTTGACATCCAAAGCCCCACGCACTGTCGCTGTAACTGTATTGTGAAACAAAAGTTTCTGGATGAAGCTAGGTTAAACAGCTGCAGGGCATTATGTTTGGATGAATAGCACGAGCTTCCCAAGCATGCAAAACCTTATAAGGGGAGACATTCCAGGATGATGCGACACACGTGGTTTCACATTCGCCTCAGGGATGTGCCACATTTTAGAGGAGTTCATTTAAAATACATTTTAAAAATAACAAAACAAAGAATCCCCTCTTGGGTTCGCCAATACAATTCTGCACACTGTCCCAAATTATCTGCGCTTTAAATAGACACTCAATTGTAATGTTGCATGTAATGCATTATCCTGAAAATATTCAGATGTGAAGCAACAAGCAAAGCACAATAAACATTGCATATAAACATTAAACACAGCAAACCTGCGTGAACCAATACCTGCAAGTAACTAAAAGGAATCTATTGGGCATCTCTGGTTTTCAAGTGCATTTTGACTGACACCCAGTTAAAGCCACTAATGATGTCAATTTGGGAGCTAAGAATTATGTTGCACTCCACCAACATTTCTCTTACAAACAAAAGCAGTGACTGCAAAATGCACTTTTTTATTTTAACAAGGTCTGGATAATTGAGGGTGCATGTACACAGTAAGGAAACTCCATACATTCATGTTTTGTTACACACCAAGTTAAAAAATGCATCGTTTAAAGAAAACATTACAGGTTCCACAAGGCATTGCTGTAGAAATGTGGCATGTTGTACACATTATCCTTGGAATCAGTAAAATTCCCTTTACGCTCGAATCAAGTTGGTCTCCGACAGTCTCCTACCCTGTAACTTCTAAGTGGTATTGAATAGGACATCAGACATGATCGCCATGAATGCTGATGCACCTGAAGACCCGATGCACGAAAAGTTATTAAAATACCAACTCTAAACTCCAAAACATTTACAGAGCTGTGCCAGTGCAGTGAGTTTCAAGAGACCACGTTTGTTTCCAGAAAGACGTTTCCCCATAGCGTGTTTTAACCCTTCAAACTAAAATTTGTGAGAAAATGGATGTTACAAAGAAATCACTTTAGCAATAAGACAATAGGTTCATGATTGGCTGCTTGTGATCGCTAAGCCAAATTGTTCACATACTGCATCCTGTTACATTTCCTTCTCTGCTATGCTGTGGAAATAAATGTTGTGTACTAATCCAGCCTCACATTTAAAATCTAACCTTCTTAGGTCTTGAAGGACCATGGATGTTTGGTACAGCACTTCTTGTTCACTTCGTATCTCCTTACTCGTATCTCCTATTCGGCCCCAAAAAAGGATCCCAATGCACTCAGTGAAAGCTTAAGAGATGCTGCATTAAAATCAAATCAAGCAATAGTAGACCAATCACTGGTGCTCAAATTAAAATACAATCAAGCAAGAGTCGACAAATAACTGGTGCTCAAATATGTACACTTGTTCGATGCAATGACGTGGCTTGCATTCTGAACTTGTGTTAACATGGTGAGAACTCCCAGGCACTGCCAAAATCTAAGTATACACCATCAACCTATGAAACACTGCTGAAATTAAGTTCTCAGAAAAGCACAACCAACATCAAAGGTCCACGATCTATGGGTGTGGCCTTATATCAGCTGACTTTCTCGTTCATACCAAGTCTTGACCTCAGCTCGACTTAAGATCAGTGTCGTCGCCACCATTGTGAAAATGAAATACTCATTGGCCAGCAAAGCATGAGACTTACATTGCCACTATTTAGCACAAAGCCATCAGTTTTCAGTAATTAATTGCAATATTTAAGAACATTGAAATCACCATCTGCTCTCCTTTCAGGTTATGTTAATTCGTGCCTGCATTTACTCCGAAGTTAAAACTTGTTAATGCGTGTTGATGCAAGCGATACAAGTACTGTTCCCAGTTTGCTACACAAAATACAACAATTGGAGGGACACTATTGGAAACGGATATTACACAGGACAATAATTGAAATAGGGATAAGCATTAAAATGATTAATTATAGCAAATGACAGCAGGGATAAGTGCTTCTGTAAAACTGAATTTGATATTGAAAATAAATTTACCAACGGGCTTCGAGAAGTCAAGTTTGGAATCGGTGGATGTTACCTGCGATGACATTTAAAAACATGGACACTAACACAGGGACCAAAGATTAAATAGTACAAAAAGCATGCAATATGCATTGGGAATTACACCGTGACAGAGAAACAAAAGGATTAAATGTAAATTAGAGAGACATCATATGGACCGTCAACGAAAGTGGGCTCGGGCAGGACATGACTGTAAGGGGATTGATGACTGGTTCGTGTGACTGGTGACAAATCGCCGGCCGAAGGCAAAAACGTGCCTGATAGGATGACCGCCAGACATGGAGCGATGAGATTAACTCATGTGCACGAGATTATTCGTGGTATCAGAAAACGGTGAGGTTTTCATCGAGTAATAGCCTACAACTGATGGTGATCGTGAAGCGAAAAATATGCTAAGGTGCATTCCCCTTTATTGTGACCTAAAGCCAAAATAATTTACAAGACTCCTCTCGATGGCAAACAAATTTCTTTGTGGAGATGGACACACACAAATATTAATTTCAATGGCTTTAGAAACATCAGCAAAAGTTTAATTTAACAGAGTACATGCACAAGTGCCATATCAGATTGTATTTATTTTTTACAAAATACGGGAAGTGTGGTCTCAGTAACGTGGAGGGCTGTCAATACATGGCAATAATATTCAGAGATTTCTGCTTTTAAAATCACATTGGTCAAGTCCCGTTAAAAAAGGGCATGACCAAGGTAAGGTGGTGTGCGGTATGCTTCAGTGTGCAGAAAGGGTCGATCGCAATGGGGTAGTTTCTTTTAAAAGTACAAGGTGTCTCTTGGAAGACTTATAAACCAACAGACCAGTCACGGTAATTTAGCGGCAGAGTGCTTATATTAAATGGACAAATTGACGTTTGTGTCCCTTGACAAAAAAACACGTTTACTAAACTATCTTGACAACTGGACATATTTCGGTATAATAAGTGCCCGAGCTAAACTACAAATGCTGTGGATGAACCATTTAAACCGCAACTCAATGCTGAGCACCTGACAAGACAGTGGTGACATGGAACATTTACCGTGGATATTATCGTATCTCAGCTCCGTACACATCTATAAGAACCTTTTCATTGAAAAAAACTATAAAGGCCTTGATTTTTTTGTAATGGATTTCAATTGTATGTATTTTCATCTGGCTTTACAAGTTTGGTAATTTGGCGTACGCCAACAGAAGTTTGGTTTATAACATTTGCCATCGGTAAGTAGTTATTGCAACATCTGCCACAAATGCATGCTTTACAATTTATCTTTCACTGTAAACATCACATTCACCACTGCAAACACAAAATCATTGCTCAAGATGGACAGCCATAGTAGTTGTAAAAGAACGAGAAAGGAAAGTCACAGTATTTCGTTTTTTAAGCCTTCTATTTTTGTACCTATCATATAGCAAGTGCTGTGATTTTAAGGGCCCAATATAATAAATAAATGTACGTGCTTCAACAATATGCAGCTCTCAAAATGTTTTGACTGCCCCACATAAAAGGGTTTACTTTAGCATGTGTTACACTATGATATTAATTTGGACAGTTTATTTAAGCCGCGTTTGGACTATTTCAATCGGTGTACATTTACTACTTAAATTATGCTTAGTTTATTAAATGGTTAGTTAAAAAAAATGAGTATGCAGTCATGCAAAGCGTTCAATTCGAATCTCGAAAACAATATCTTCAGGACCAGATGACAATGACCGCTCTCTTACTCTGGGCTGTGGCGGTAGCAAATAAGAATAGAGCAATTTTATCATTATTTTTAAATGTTTGCACTTTAACAAAGAAGAAAAATATGTCAAATGTAACAAAAATCTAAAATGTGAAAAACCTTAATGACAGTGGGGGAAAATCTTTAATTCAACAATGACCACAAATGTTTTTACGTCAAAATTTATATATAACAAAATAAAAAATGTATGAGAACAACTATAAATTAGCAGCAACATACATGGGCATTGAAGGAAGAATGAACAAAGTAGATTTTAACAACACTCTTGTGATGGAAAAAAAGTCTCCCAAAACTGTGGCTGTCATCATTTAGAACAGTCATAACGAGTTCGGAAGCAAATTAATAAGGCTTGTGAGGGGTCTTACTCGCTGCTATCTTTGTGGTTTCATTGATTTTGGCAAATCATTGTAGCCTTGCTGCAAAGCCTGTGCTGAGTTGCGGCCGGGAGGCAAAACTAAAAATGTGTTGGCCCAACTGGTGGGGATTTCCTCCGACTCCCCTTCACACCACCCCCTTTCCTGGAGGCTGGGCAGTGGCTACAGCATGCCTAGAGCATGCCAAAGCCCTTGGCGTGGGTGATGGCTTTGAGCAGCCTCTCCTTGAGCTTTTCCCGGCTGCTATACTCGGGAAGCAGCAGCACGTTGAAGCAGGTGTGTGCCGTGGGCAATCTGCGTGGCACAAGGAGGCGGGGTAGGCAACATTGAAAACATGTTTGTCGAGCGTTAGCACAAATTCCATAAGCCACCGTGTGTCGTTTCGCCAGGTGAAACCACGTTAATATACAAGACCCATTTAGTTTTGATGAACATCTGACTTTCTGCTCAACAAAGTGTAACAAGCTTCGGTGAGTATCTTGAGATTGGCGAGAGATATGTATGGGATTTGAATTAGAATGCTGTTTCGGACTATAATTTCTCCCCTATTATGTTAGTGCGGGCATTAATAAACAGGTCTCATAAAGGTAACAATGTGCAATGAATAAACGAGGGTGGTTTAGCATGCGTGTTTCACGGAGTGAGCGAGTGACACACAACAGGGGTAAGACCAAGGCAGTGAGTCGTGGCTCAACTGACCTGTCCGAGTCGGGGCCGTTCTTGGCGATAATCATTTTGAGTTTTCCCAGACCGCCGACAGGTGCCCGGTCTGTGCCGGTGGTGAACTGAAGGAACAACCTCTTTTTGTCTTCGCAAAAATCGTGCACCGTGTCCCAGAAGTCTCTGCAAATGACAGACGAAATGAGAATACTTGATTGGAACACTGTCACAACAAAGTGAGTACAAAGCCACCAAAGGTCACCATGTAAGAGATATGAACCAAACACGCTGAAATATGGACCCCTCCATTACGGTGTTTGGCTCATCTGAAATAAAATAAAAGTTTACGTCACTTTTATGGTGGGCAACAAAATTATTTGTAAACCAATTTATCCTACGATAGCTGAAGTGACAACTTATTCGACAAATCAGCAAGGCTTCTTTGCATTTAATTACTCGGTACATTTGAGTCTGAACACAATGTACCTTATAACTCTTGAACTTTTATTGAATCCACCATCATATTCCGTTGCATCTTCTAAGGCATGGAAATCCAGCACCTGGACAGGATGCACACAATAAATTAATATTCACAAACTAAGAGGCAAGCAATTATTTGGATTACAAATAAACATTTTGCATAGGCCTGATCATTGGTGCTTCAGCACCTAAATTTAAAAATTGGAATGATCCAGCAAATACATCCGTTTGAATAATAAATAACAAAACAATATCAACAAGATAAACTTTTGCAAAAAAATATAAGCTCAACAACCATCCATGTTCTTGGTTCTTTCGGTAAAGTTACGTAGAAGGGAAACAATAAAATAATAAAAATATAAAACAATAAAATTATCACGACGTTTCGACTGCAACACAAGCAATCATCATCAGGTGTGAAAACCACAACAAGAACATTCGAAAAAAGTGGCGTTTTTTTTCGTTTGAAAGCCTTGCAGTGGTATAACCATAATATGGACAAAAACCACACGGCATAATATTAATACAGATGTACAAGCATTTAATGTTTAAAGTACAAAGTTTGCTTTCCAGACATATGTAAATAATATACACACAGACATATATAAAGGATGTTGGGGCTGGACAATGGACCTGTGGCCAGTTGCATGAACATCTCAAGTGCAGCTTTCCTCTACTTTCAAATTGAAATAAATTTAAGGTAAGGCAAAATACCGCATGATATGTGTTACGTACGCAACTGTCTACAGTCATTTTCCATGCTGTACTGGGCTATATCAGCACTGTAGTCTTTGTATCATCTGCGAATTAAAAAAAATAAAAACTGCAAAGAAAACCTAAACCAGATTGACAATAAAACCAGCAGCTAAAACGTTTGCGTGTGCACATACGTAGAGAGAAAGACGCTTTAGTTTATCGATGGCCATTGGGGGCCATGACTGCATGACAGACCGAGGGAGGCAAGGCTCACCCGGCTGCCGCACACGAGCAGCTCCACCTCCTCGGGCCGGAAGAGGGCCTTCAGGGGCGACTCGCTCGTCACCATGTGGAAGCCCCGGCGGAACGCCTTGAACTGCTTCTCCACCGACTGGTTGAGGATGTACTCGGCGTACAGGTCGACAAACTCCTGCGCTCGGACAACACGATACCCCATACGTGAAGACTCGGACACTTCCCTGCACTTGATAGAATTCAACGGAATGCAGTGTCGGGTCGATTGATAACAACAACGCTCACAGGTTCACTCCAGTCGCTCGCTCTCTGGCTGTTAGCCACCTCCCTATCAATATTCAACCACTACTGTTCCTGTGAACTTCACCCATGTTGAGGACTCTACCCAACTGCTTTGCCGCATCCATATTGTGTTGAACCACCACACGTTGCAAGGTCACAACACTTCTCTTTCTGCTTGATTCCTCTTACTGCTCGAATTCTGTCTCAGTCTCTTTTTCCTGAGCTTGTATAAACCACGTATAGCCACGCTGCTCAATGCGGAGCGGTGAAGGCGAGGATCTTATATATGGGGTATAGTAGGACATTTGATTTTGCTGCCCTGCACTCTGCTTCCCACAATAGAATCCTCCAGTTGCCTAACCTACTTCATGATATAAGTCTATGGGTCATACGTAAGCCTCGTGGTATACTGTTCATCTATTCATCTTCTGTAAGCCAATGTAAGTCTATGGGTTAATTGTATGTCTACATGTCCAAAATCAGTCTCCGGGATAAATGTAAATTAATGGGTCTAATGTAAATCTGACCAAAATAAATGAATGGGTACAATATTAAGTCTCTGGGCCCTATTATTATATACCCAACCAAGCTTCGTGGTCATATTAAAAACAGGATTTTGAAGAGGACTCCTTGTTATGAACTGACAAGCATTATTCTGCTCTTGCCTCGGGGACAAATACCTTGAAATGACACATTTCTGTTGTAAATAAAAAAAAACTCGCCACCTTTTTGTTGTCATTAGTGACAGGAATGTCCTCGCCATTCTCCTTCAGATCTTGAGTAATGGGGGTGCCAAACATGTCAAAGTACGAGATGCGAAAGGTAGCCATGATGTCGTCCTCCACGCTGCCTTCGTAGGCCAGCAGGTCCTTCAAGCTTTGGTATAACGCCTGCGGGCGGGGAGCGGGGGGGGGGAAGTAGAGGTCATGGGGTGCCGTTCAAATCACAGCCTCGGTGTCGCGATCACGCGAGCCGTAAATCCCCGCCACGCCATGAGAACATGCGATCTATTTTTGCGTCATAATTCAAATGACGCCGCTTCATAGTAGACTTGTAAACAAATCGCTTATCCGCCCATTAAAATTTATTGTTACGGTCACAATACGCTCAATAAATCATACGTGCAAGAAAGGATTGCTTTTTTTTTATGAATGCAAATGTTAAGCCAATAATTTATTTTGGCTGGTCGTCAGAATGAATGAGACAAAAAATTAGACAGCAGCACGAATGAGACAAAATACAAAAATAAGTTATTGCAAGCCTTACAAGAGAATACAGATGAGACAGAGTACCATGAAGACAGTAAGACATAAGACAGAGTACAAACAGTACCAATGAGACAGACAGTACCAATGAGACAGTGTAAACCAGACAGCAGCGATTACAAGACTGGCAGTACAGGCAGTGTGAAGAAGATTATAGCTACAAAACAGTACAAACAAGACAAAAAAAAAGAACGGATAATTGAACTGAAGTCCAAATTGTCAAGATTGTTGATATTTACTTTAGATGCCAACTACTTCTTAAAAAGTAGAACCAAGAGTGAATTATACAGAGGAGCCTTGGCCCCAGACAGGTGGCGGCACTGCACGTACCGGGTGGGAGTCCGCGAGATCGTGAAAGGTCCCCCGCTTGCCCATGAGCTTGCGGTAGACAACCATGGGGAAGTGGATGTCGAGGATGCAGTTGTTGTAGATGGCGAGCCCCAGCACGATGCCGATCAGCGTGAACTGGCCCTCGTTCTCCAGCGACGATGGATTGAACCAGAAGAGCCTCGTCGACTCGTCAAAGGTGAACATTCCTGCGCAGCAAGGTCACGGCAAGTTCAGTCTATGGCAAAAGCAGGCGTCAACGGGAACACAGAAAAACAATGCTATATCCCCAAATAAAGTCCTTCGTATTCCAAATGCCAAAATGAGAATGACGACCCTTGCGTGTTAGAAAAAGACAACTGAGAATGTACAATGTGAGCCAGGTTAGGACAATGACCAGCCTCTTACAAATAGTCATGTTATATAAAAGAGAATGCCCTGTAATTATATTATGCAAAAGTGACTAAGTTAAACGATAGCGGCGTAAAGAAATGTTGATTCATCGTTTCATACAGACTCCCACAATACAGCCATGGGGAGGAACACCATATGATATTACTTTAATACCTTAGTAAGATGGCACTTTAGGTAGTAAAGAAACAGTAATGGAGGGAACTTATGCTTCCCATCCCTGGTCAACAGCTACTTGGCCCGTTTCTCTTTCCATCTATTTTGCCAAGGGAATATTGCACTGAAATATCCTGCAAAGAGAGCAAACTTCCTCCTGAGATTATTCCTACTTGCGAGGTGTCTCTTCCTCTGTGGTCCTTCTTCGTTTCATCATGCAGATGGTGGGATACTGTTATGGCAGACACCTTTCAGCAGCTGTGCTATTCGTGAGAGAGATGAGAAAGCTTTGGCAAGGTAGCGGCATCAATGACTTTGGCTTTCCTGACATCGTCACCTTGCTTTGACTGTCTGATGGACCTCAATGTTATTTTGCCGTTTGTTAATGAGGCACGTGTGCGTGTATCATTATGGGAGAGTCGGGTTGCTCACCTATATCAGGGTTGAAGAGCTCCTCCACGACGAGCTGGAAAAACTCCTTGGAGACGCCACCTTCGTCCACACCCTGCTCTCCTTCGAACTCCACGTACAGCTGTTTCTTCAGGTCCGCGGGGTTCTCCATAGCAATCATCTCCAACTGACGACAACCAAAACACCACCAAGGGCAACCACGCCAGCGTCATCATTTTACCACAACGCCATCATCATAATTGCGACCGTGATGTGGTCACACCAGGTACACATCGTCAGTATCACAACAAATCACCATGCTAGAACCATAGCCACAATGCCAGCAATCCAATTATCAGAGAGAAAGTTGCTCAGTTAAAGCGCCAACACGTGGCATTTTATCACTTGGTGCAAAGTACTGGCAAACCAGTTACAGTAATGTCAAATAAGCAGCAGCAGCAGAGGGGGCCCATTATTAGTTTACTGTCAGACCAAAGTTTTCCCGTGTTTGTCCCACAGCATCTCCATTGACGGGAAGCTCTCGGTTATCTTGCCACACACCCCAGCGATCCTTCCAAGTCTGCCGCACCACCGGCCACTCCAGCCGTCCCTTAAAGCATGGTGTTGTGTTTTGGGCAGGGTACATTGAAAAAATGTTTTGCGATTTATAGAAAAAAAAAATTCTGACCCCAAGTGAATCTCTATAGGGGGGAAAGTAACACCCTCTGCTGTTTGTTTGGCAGATAACTACTGGAACTTGATAACCGTTAACATTGTGGCTTTGTATTTCACGTTATACAGGAAGGTCTGTATTAATTTAATGTAATCCTAAGACTTATATATACATACAAGTGCTTTAAATGGATGAGTGACGGTTAACCTGTTTAATGAAATCACACGTACTTTGTTAGTGAACACAAAACATTTTGTAACATCAATCGAAACAGTAAATTCATACACGAAAATCAACAGGCAGGCATGTATATTAAAATCCTAACATCCTAACACCAAATGGAACACAACAACCTAAACTCAGGTGATAGATCGTAAAAGTCGGGGTCGTATGCAGCCCGATCTTTATGTAGCATCAACATACACATAATCAGTTTTAAGGAGCTAACATCCGCAGTCCTCAAACATCCAATTTATGATCATTCCAATAAACACCCCCATCAGTCAAACCGAAGAACTCCAGTAAGCTGACCTTTATAAATTTGCACAAAAAGTAGAAGAGGTTGGGCCTGCAGGTTAAGATGATGATGTTGCAGCCATGACATTATTTGCTCATGCCACTGCTGGCGTGAAAGGTCTCTACTATAGGGGCTCTCAGAGGGCAACTCTAGAAAGCATTTTGGCCTACCTTTCAATCCTGACCACACATCTTGTAAGAGGTTGGAGACCCACAATTTACCCCATCACACGCAAACTGCCAATAGACTGTGGTGCATCCATTTCTACTGCTAGCCGGACAGAGGCGGTGGGGGATTTAACACGTGTCCTTCGTTTCAAATGCCGCGCGCCAGGAGATCGAATCGGCCACCTCTGGATAACAAGTCCACTTTGCTAACCATTGCACCAAGGCAGCATCCCACGTGAAGTAGACTGAGCAACTTGGGAGGGGGTGCCCAATTGGTGTTCTAAAGGTGCTGAGTGATGGAGCGCTCACCCGAACGAGCGCGTCGTCGATGACGTGGTCTCTGCGGACCTTGAGCCTGAGGTAGGGGTGCAGGTGCTGGCCCTGCACCAGGCTGTGGAGCACCGTTATCCGCCTCTCGCTGTACATGCGTATCCGGTTGTCGTAATACAGGCCCAGGTTCTTGGTGACGGCGCTCAGGATGAATGGGCAAGTCATGAACGAAAACTTCTTGTCCTGCTCAACTTTAAAGAACGTGAAGTCCTTGTCCATCTCCAGCACGTCGTTGAGCGGCTCGTTGATGAATTCCTCGTACGGGATCATCGGCTTGCGGCAGTCGGTCCTGCGCAGGCTCAGCTCGGCCTCCAGCTGGTCAATGCGCGGCCCCTTCTTGTTGTGGCGGTCCTCGCCGAGCAGTTCCCGCAGCGTGGCGTCGTTCAAATCCGGCACGGGCTCGTCGTCGTCGTCCTCCTCCTCCTCGATGTGGCCCTTCTCCAGGTCGCCGCCCAGCAGGCTCGCGTAGTACACCACCTTGAGACACTTGGTGGCCGACACCACCGCGTCGTCCTCGTTCACCAAGTTGCGGCTGTTGAACTCCTGCGTGATGACCCTGCACGTGATGAGCTGCTGAAAGGTCTCCAGCATGCGTCGCAGCTGGTCGGGGCTGTATTGCGACCACAGCCGCGCCAGCTTGCCCTGCGCTGCGAGTGGCAGCTTGCTCATGGCCTTGCAGAACGACGGCAGCGCGACGTCCAGGTACTCGGGACTGTGCAGGTTGTGGTTCTCCATGATGATGACAAAGAGGTTCAGGTAGTTGGGGTCCCGCACGTACATGTTATGGTACGTTAGTTCGCACTCCACGTTGGGCGACAGGCACAACAGGGCATTGAGAATCGCCGTCTCTATCCTGTCATGCGTCAGCAGCAGCCGGTAAGCGCGACGCACTGCCTCAATGTCCAACGTCACTTCGTCGGGCCCTAGCTCAACCAAGTGATTCTTGGCCTCCGTTTGGCCACTCGACGATGACGCTGCCGCCCCCGCAGCTGCCACATTGCCACCTTCGGCCGTGGCCGCCGCAGCCTCTTCCACTTCCATGGGTGCATCCACAAACACCTCCTTCTCGTCTTCGTCCTTGTCCTCGTCCTTGGTCTGCAAGGACTTGAGCTCCTCCTTGGACGGCTGCTTGGGCTTGCGGAAGCTCTGGACGAGGGCGTCGGCGCTCGAGAAGATGCGGCCTATGACCCGCACAAGCGGAGACAGGTCTCCCACGCTGGTGCATGTCTGCATTATCTCCTCCAGCTTCTCCTCCGTAAGGAATCTTACATCTGGAAAGCGGATAAACATGAGACCGCAGAGTTAAAAAAAATATATTAATGTATATTCGTGCAGATGTTGAGGACACGTGCATAGACATTGCCAGTACAATTGCTTTCGCTGACAGGGTTTTGATTAGAAATTGACAAAGTACAGTGTACACTGTAAGCTTTATACATCTGTTGAGGCGTAAATGATGACTCGGAGGCAGATCTTCGTGAAGGGGCTTGCGCCAGTTGTTTTATTAAAGACCTCTCTTCGCACACGACTCCGTGTACTGCACACTCACTGCCTACACTCTACACCCCGGGGGAAGGGTACTGGGGAGGTCCCTAGCACACCCACAGGCTACCCTAGCCTGGTGCCAATTTCCCCCTACCCCGAGGTCCCATCGCTCCCCCGGGGGAAGGGTACTGGGGAGGTCCCTAGCACACCCACAGGCTACCCTAGCCTGGTGCCAATTTCCCCCTACCCTGAGTCCCAATTTCCACCCTTCACGTTCCCCGACTCGCCAGACGACCCTGAATCCGTGACGGGTTCCAGCTTAAATCCTCCAGGGGGACATGACGTCACCACCACGCCCCCTGTGCATGACGTCACCATCCGTGACATCATCGCACCAGAGGGCGAGCGTGACATGACGCCACTAACTCCTACTCTACACATCAAATGGCATGGGTCCCCACTCCACGGCCAACATTAATCCATTTGCACTCAGCAACCACTTCTTGCTCCATTATCCTTGAATCATACAGGGCCAACCATTAAATGACAGACTGTTCTCTTTCCCATTTATCTGCAGTATGGGTGCCAAGGCTGCGTAAATTCACTGGATGTTATCAGATTTGTAGAGCAAAACCGTCGAAAAATGAAATGTAATTAGAGATACAAATTGTCACGTAAACATTTTCGGCAATGACGATTCATCATCGATATTCATACCAGAACTCTGACATGATGCAATCGCCCAAACATGAGTTTTAATTATTCATAAATATATAAAAATTGTCGACAAGTGGAGATTGTTTTTAATAATACAAGATCAATATTATGAAGATAACAGCTTGGCTCATGAAAGAAACCAAAAGCAGAAAAACAAAACATGTTAATGATATAAAGCGACAAGATTATTTTTAAACATCCACCTAACATCTCAAATTCGTAAAAATGTTTCACTCCGATTAGCACAGTTGACTAAATACTGTTTGAAATAAGTTCAACATATGTACATACAAATACTACAACAAGATAACAATATGCAGTATAATTGCTTGCTCATAACCATATTTACTTATAGCACCACAATTCTTTTAGGGAAGTCAAACACAGAAGTACAGTCACACCTCGGTATACGACCGCTTTGGAATACGTCGAATTTGGTATACGTCGTGTTTTAACGAGAAAAAATTGTCTTGGGATACGACGGGCTTGCTAGAACTTGTATGGGTCGGGATGAGTCACCGCGTACAGTACCCGCGTACACAATACTGTTACAGCTTTAACAAGCCGTAACAGTATTGTGTGGAATGACCAGACAATGTCACACTTCAGGACCATTCTTAGAAGAAGGCAAAAACACACTTCAATGGACAGGTTTTTAGTAAAACTCAAACCTGGTGAGCCTCAACCAGGTCTAAGTCAAGAAAAAAGACAGAAAAGAGAAAAACCTCCAGAATTTCAGCTTCCTGAAGTTTTAATGGAAGGGGACTCTCCTTCCAAAAAATATCTCCTCCTCCTCCCCTTCCTCACCACCATCCTCGTAGGCTATCAACTCCTCTCAGCAAGGTAAAGTGATGTTACAATTTATTTTTATTTCAATTTATAATTAAAATTTGTATGCATGTATTTTAATGTATGTATGCATTTTAGTAATAGGTAGTGTCTACATTAGTTTATACAACCCCATTAATGTATAATATGCCATATAAAATATAATTTATTATACTCTGGAACGGATTATTTCCTTTCCATTTATTTCTTATGGGAAAAATTATTTGGTATTCGCCATTTTCGGTATAAGTCCAACCTTCTGGCATATACCGAGGTACCACTGTATTACTTAGTATTTCACAAGTGTCAAAATCACCAACGAGTGACAATGAAATTCAACTTCTTCACCAACACCCTAGGAAGTTGGGTCAACACACAATATGCGTTTTCGTAACACACGCATTACCCAAATAACCAGTAGCAAGTATATGTTCACTGGGTAATGACTGCAGTGGCAATGGTCATAAACATCTCAGGAATCAGTGACTAGCAAAACCAGATTCTGCTTAACTGAGCGGAGTCTAATAACAATGCAGTTGAAAAAAGACCAACGTTTTTATTAGACTCGGAATCTTTATTTATCCTGGAGGAATCCGATAAGCTATGAAGCTCCTTTTCACAGATGTCCACGAGGGGTGGGTCAGCACGTTACAACAAACACAAAATCATCAGCTCGTCCACCTGACACTTCAAGGGGTAGCCACCTCGATGGCCCTGTTGACGAGGATACAGAGGGCCAACGGAGGCACGTAGCCGACCAACCAGCAGCGAACCTGACCTGGGAAGTCCTGCCTGTGGGGCTGTGCGGCCTTTCCCAACGCCACGGCTCCCTCGGCTATCCGACTGTCCTGGGACGCCAGGTCGGCCTCCGGGTAGTAGTCGATGTGGCAGAGAGAAGCTCCCCTCTTGGAAGGGTGTGGGTCGCACAGCTTGGCTTTATTACGACATAGCTCTACAGCCCTGGGTAGAGACAGCAGAAAGAGTGCACACGGTGTGCGTGTGTTGGCATTCACAGGACAAAGAGCGGCGGCGTAGTGTTTAGCGCGCTGCGCGACAACCCAACCATCCTGAGTTGATTCCTGGCCGTGGTTAACATCAGTGGCAATAATCTGAACAGGTCTTGGATTAATGCTGGCAGATATCAGTCAGTGAACCCTTAAAACCTCGTGACATCCTGTCAACATTCTTAAGCTAATGGCTTCAGACGAACACATAAAAACCTCAGAACAACAGACTGCATCATCACACTTAAGATTTACGCATGCGTTGACATACATAATTTAAAGTTCCATTAATTGCCAGGCAAGTGCTATTACCAAGCACCTATTTTGACAAAGATTAACACAGATGGAATAGCTGAGGCAGTATCATCGTCATTTAATCTCCTAAGCAAAGTTGAAGACATTTTCACCAGGTACATATTTTAGGCTGACAGAACCTACCACTGTAGGTACACATCAGGTATCAATATTTAATTACACCAATTAACAAATGGAGCAATGTAATTTGGTTCAACTGGGTCGCGATCACAGCGAGTTATCCACAATATTAATACACAAACACATTCATTAGAAGGCAGAAACATTTACTTTGCGGAGGATGACCGTGAACTCGTGTGAATTGAAACAGAATCCAGGCCTGGGTTTTCCCCACCCCCGCCTCCTAAAGCTCACGTGACACGACTGCAATGGGGCGATCAATGAGGGCAATGCAGCACAAAACGGAAGCTCGATACTCTCAACGCTGCCTACGCATTTTACATTGTTGCTGCAAAGCAAAAACCCCAATCACTTCATTTATTCTGTGCCCTCGATCATTGGGTCATGTAGCTTTATCGCTCAAGTGTAGGAACTATATTTTTTACTCGGGTAGGCGGGCGTTTCAGGGAGCTAATACCAAGTAGCAGTACTGAGCCAGCGCTAACAGATAATCTGGGTTTGAATCTGGGTTTCAGCCACTCATGCGGAAACCAAATTCCGAAGTTTACTGAGTTAATGATCAAAGACCGGTCACCAATAAAGAACAAAATAACCCCATGTTATTAATTTTTAAAAATTTGATTTAAATGATCTTATTGCAAGTCTGAAAATTAAAAACATGCAACCTAATGCCTGTGATTCGACAGACCTTCTACTGAACCATGTCACATTTAGCATGCTCACGGACAGCAATAAAATGCAGTCTCATTTCAGAATGTAAAAAAGAAATAAAGATGTGTTACATTTCTGCCCTAGCCACATGCACTGTGAAGCACAGGGTTGGTACATCTGGCTAATCTCATCGGGGTGACGTTCAGGTTAATCCCCGATATGTAACGACAGGGTTAGGGTGGCTGGCACGAGAGCCTCTGGCTCCAAGGAAAGGCAAAAACAAATTGATTCTCAACAGCAATCTGGCCTGAGGGGGATTAGCGCTCTGGTTGATGAACAGCTGTGGAAGGCTCTCCTTGTGTCAATGTGCCACAGCTCTCGAGCTTACATGTTTAAACTCCAAATCACCAGATTGGAACATTTCCGATCTAGCAATGATCAGATGTCTGTGGTCAAGCTTAATTGGAAGTTTTGCATAAAAAAGAAAGCTGATTAATAATCATTTGAATTCAGTTGAGGTCTAACTTAATCAAGCCTATAATATAAATAAGATAAGCTGATCTGTAAATGTAATGCATGCCAGGGTTGTGGGGTTCAAACTCACCCTCAGACTAAGAATCATGCACCAGTCATCACCAGATTTCAATCAATGAGATAATAAATAATCTACAGATACTGTTCAGAAAAGTGTGAAAAATAATTATGTCCTGGTGTCATGTGCAATTTTTTTCACAAGTGCTCAATTACGAGTCTGTTCCTTGTTGAATTACTGTGGAGGCCACATGCCTCCGGGCTTTAACAGAGGCTCGTTTGAGGCTAAACACTTCCAGAATATATATATGAATGACAATGGTCATATTGGTGCTAACATACGTTGGAGTATCGCCCCTAAGTACTGCCATGATAGTCCAGATGCCACCATACAAACACGCTATTTCTGGGAGAACAGATGACAACAAAGTGGTTACGCTTTTCAAAAATTGCTTATTTATCTTACTGGCGACCACAAGGGAGACAGAAAGACAGATCTCAATGCCTCCTCCGTGGGTCGCCCATAATTGTTTCCCAATTATGTAGGGCGCCACCACGGCCAACCCAGCATAGCCTCGCCACCCTCACCAAGCGAACCATCAACCGACTCATGCCTCCACACCGGCACCGCACACGCACGTTTCAATAGCAGACTTCCGGTGCTCACCAGTCCATATGCAATAAATAAAATCTTTAAAAAACTATAACATCTAAGGCTGGCCCAAGCCAAACCATATATCTATATAGAATGCACTGAAATATTTGCAGCGATATTCATACATTCTGCTCAAGGCTGGTCTGCGTGATGCCACCAACAGGGAGTGGGGGACCCTTTCAGACAACCCTTGCCTATCAAAAATGCACCGTTCAAGAACCTTTGGATAAGGTCACCTGTAGGCAATTCCGCTTTGCTTTTTCCTTTGCAGACTGGAAGTGCGGTGCAAGGGCTTACTGCCAATTTGGAGGCAGGTCCAGCAGCAATCACGGCTGTCAGGGGGGGGCTAGCAGACTTACACTTGACTCAATGCAAGCCCTCTAATGGGTCAATAGTCCTGCAATTTCACTGTTGGGTTTGGCAACCCGGTGTCGGGAGAAGCTATAGGATTTTGGCAAGAAGCATGCCGTTCAAGCGCATGGAATCGCTGCGATGTTAGATTCCTCTGAGTGAGCAGAGCAACCTATCCAAGAAATATAGAAAATTTACGAATATACGAAGAGCTGATTATCCTGGTAAACTGCCGCTTTCTCCCCGTGCAACAACAAGGCAAGCGTGAAAGCACGGTGCCGTTTTAGTGGTAGGAGTCTGGGTCACAATATTACACGGGGTGGGGGTCCATGGTGATTGAGGTATGGGCGAGCCGAGGAGGAGGCAGCGATGCGGGTCCTAAGTCCTGTCTGCCTCTCTCCCCATTCGAGGTTTCTGGTAAAATAAAGAATTAGGTGAAAGACCAAATGCTTTGTTGTTGACCGCAAGCACGGGATTGCATGCTGTACGGCGGCACATGGTTTAGCACTGTAAAACGATTCATGAGTTCGGTAAGACGTGGGCCTGTACCTGATTGCTGCACTGTTGTTATCCAGAGGCTTGAACGCTGGACTGGAGGCACAGAATTCGTTGGAGCAGCTGGTGTTGCCACAGCCTTCCGTCAGCTGGTGATAATACCGCTCTATCATCTGCTTCACAGCTGCACGCTTCCTGCGGAGAACAGTAAAAGTGCATCCTCAAGTCTCAATTCACGTCTAACGTTCACTGTCAATAACACATTGCTGATGACTTCACAAAAAACCATAACACAATCAAGCTCCATGTCCTCCACTTTGCACTTTTCTGTAAACAAATATAAGTTTCCATGGAAACTATTGAAATAAAAATGGTTTTAAAAAGTCAGTGATTTTATGCTCAAATGACCATTGAGACAATGCTCCTCTCATGCTTATATCCACAAGCCAGTGGTGGAAATTATACGTTCTCATGGCAAGTCGATCCAAAGGACAACCACTGTTGACTTCCTCCAAAGTGGTAATCATTCTATTAACCCCGAAGGAATGATGGGCTGAATCAACTCACAACCAGGATTTCAACTCAAACTTCTGATTGTGAGCCACTAAAATCAGCGAGAAAGAGCTTTTGATAAGAAAACAAAGCCACAAGATGCAATATGCAAGTGCACATTCCTGCTGTTTTAAAATTGTTAGCGAGTGAGTGTCAAATATCCTTCCAATGTAGATGGTTAGCGAGTGGTTAAATTTAATAAACAAGTACAAACGAACATATTGGTTTTGCTCTTTAAATGTTACATAAAACATGATATTAACTGAAGTAAAACAGTTTGTCCATTGCTAAAAGCTAAAAGCATCCCATGCCATTGATTGCCGATTTCCAGCAAAACTCCTGAGAGTAAGTCGACAAGCGAAGACAATGTGTGTGCCCTGTCAATGCCGAAAAACAGACACTCAAAAGCAAAGCCCAAGTGTTAAAGGTGGTAATAATCACCAATAGGTCTGGTCTTCTGCCTCAACCAGTGATATGATCAGTATATATTGGCTACTTTGGCACACACTTTGCCTTTCCATGGGATGGTTCACGAGGTGGCACATTCCTACAATCCAAAGTTTTTGACACAAGAGCTGATGGGCCACAAAGTTTTGAAATTCCAAATCCGCTGGGCTTCGAGGTAGCTAGAAGTACGGCAAATATAAGCATAGTTCTGCCTGTGCGGATCTTTAAGTGCAATGCCCCCATATACCTGAGTTTTCTCTGGGAATCTATTTTCTTCCCCACAGCCAAACGATGCAATACAGGATCCCCCTGAAAAGCTGCCGAAACGTAGGAAGGCTTTCCATGAATAAATAACGTAAAAAATAGAAGTAAAATAAATTACACTTATTTACGTGACATAAAATCACAAGTGACATTCCCTGGGATGGCAGACAGCAGTGCACATTCTGGTAGGTGCCCAGGAAATGCTGAGAACAGGTTTCTGCTTGTGTCAACGTCACTGTGTGTGTCCTTGTTTTCTTGTGCCTACAAATCCACAATCTTCCAATAATAATTACCCACTCTCCCATAAGAAACAGGGAGAGCTTGATGATCTTGCACCACCACATACTTCAAAGGCCGACTTAAATATTATTACATGCACATTTTCTCTTGGCTGCTACTTCTGCATTCCATTTGCTTTCACGGCATACTATAATTGAGAAACGTTTTCCTGGCTGCACTCCTGTCTGGATTCCTGGCGCACGGGCAAGTGCGTGGTGATGTCACCCGCATCCCAAAACGTATCCCACACAAATGTGCTGTCAAAGTACACGTGGTTTTTTTCCTCTGCTTCACGTGACTAAAAACAGTACCCCTTTAAAAGTGGGGAAAAAGGAAACCCCGCACGTGAAAATAAAATAATAAGATTTACACATCTAGGGCAACTCCAGAATAAAACTCTAATTTGCAAACGTGAAACACATAACATGCGCTACATAGATAACATAGATGTAGATTGCATGCACACCCTACATCTACACGGGCATAATACAGAGATACAAATAGAGTAAATGTATTTTAGATGTAAGAAAATACATACCAAGAGTATAGTACATGGGAAATCCATGTATGGAAGTCACGATTATATTTAGTTACATATGAAAGTATGTCAATTATGTTCGAGTAATTGTCACTCATCAATTTATCATATAGAGAAATCTCATTCGTTTAATGTGCTATAAAAACGTGAAGAAACTAAACAGGTCGGGGTGGATTTCTTGAGCGAGAAAACCCTGTTGACCGCTTGCTTCTTCTGCATATATAGTTATTTTTTTAGTCATTTTATCAATCGACTACTGGATGAGGGACTTCCCAGCCCTCTATTGGTCGTGGGTGTTATTTGACCACAGCTGTTCTGCACGCTGGTCAGTGTAGGCTGGTGAAGGTGGGGAACAGACATGAGAGCATAGGAGGTACAGTGCAAGAATGGATTTTGATGCACTGTTGACCACAACTCTATTTAAAAAAAAATCTACCACTTTTTCCTCAACGGAAATAGAAATCGTGCGTGTTAGAAGCTGACAGGCAGTAATTCATCGGCTGGATACAGTGTACACACACTGTACTTTACAGAACGTGAGCAACAAGTTGTGACATTTTAAATCGTGGCTCGGGGGCCGTCCGTAAATGACGTCACGCGATTGTGGACGATTTTTGACCCCCCCCCCTCGTCACACGGCGTCACAAAAAGTCAGACACCCCTCAAATATGACGTCACAAAGCTCTGCCCCCCCCCCCCAAAAAATATAAAACATGCTTCAAATCGCTTTAAACTATTGTCATTGTAGTGCGTATTTAATGTGGCGCTGCAGTCTGATGTTGTAGGAGAAAACATTTATTAAAAAGTCTATTTGTTAAGTAGAACGCGTTGTCTATATTTATTTAAAGTTGTGCATTTTTTACGTGACGTCACATTTCTCAACCCTCCCCCCCCTCGTCACACATCGTCACAAATGTCTGACACCCCCCCCCCCAAGGTGCGTGACGTCATTTATGGACGGCCCCTTGCACGAGACGAGTATAACAAAGCATCAAACAAGCAGTGACCAATTAAAAAAGAGAAAGGCCACACGTACGAGGCAGTGCAGTCGTCCCTCGGTGAACAGCGACATCGCTGAACGGGTGTTCGGTGAACGCTGCGTCTCCCGTGGGGCCCCGTGGTTTCAACATGTTGTGCTCCGCGCTTGTGCACGCGCCAGGCGCCAAGTTTCGGCCAATCTGAGCGCTCGTAAGGTCGGCTGAGGGCATGGCTCAGCCCACAGCGATGCCCATTTGTGAGCGTTTAGACCTCGACTGGCTTTGTTGACATTGCGTTTTCTGTTTTGGCAGCGGAAAACAGCTCTCTCGAGTGCAGACTCGGAGATTTCTACTGATCCGATTAACAGTTATTTCGATGAGCAGTAGTTTCCGTGGAACGGATTCAAAACGCGAACCGAGGGACTACTGTATGCACCGAGGGAGTTCGTGCCGTCTTCTACCAGGCAATGCAATGATGTAATTGGCTGATCATGTTGCACAATGCTATGACAAAACTTTAATTTGCTGCCAAGAGGATTTGCACATAGCATCGGCCATGCGCTTTAAGGTTTGTGGTCTATATTTTTCCATGTTAATTGACGAAAGTAAAATGTACTGACGTTAACGGCTGCAGCAATTAATTTCGTAAAACTGGCCGATTAGTTCCATTAAAAAAACATGTATGTTTACTCAAACCAGTAGCAAGCGACTGCTTCAGTACTTAATCAGCTGGCTCTAGTGACTTAAGACGTAAATGCAGTATGCCGGCCCATTTGGGGTGAGATTACTCATTCAACAGCATGCACAGTTATGACCGCAGGGCTCAACATTATTTCTATTACGTAATGCGCTAAGTGTAGAAAGAGGTTTGCGTGGCTGGATATGCTTTTCGTTAACGTGCTCAACACGCAAATAATATTTTACAGAGTTAACTATTTAGTTCCTTTCACAATCCTACATCTTATGGAGGACCACAAAAGCGAGGTACATATGTTGAACTTCTTCCGCAACGTATATAGCCAAACATGCTAATCGGAGTTGCCGGAGTATTTGTAGTATCTACAAGTGGAAGCATTTGACCAAAGTGTTCCAGATGTTCCAAACAAAATAGAAACTACGTCGCTTGATCTGAATTGAAAATATTAAAACATTTTACAGCTCTGCCAGCCTGTTGTTTTACTGGAAAAATAAAACTCCACAACAGACTCATCGATACAGTCATAAATTTCCTTGACACCGTAATTTTTGGCCTCCAGGAATCCACTTCTATTCTTATGCCGTGTACGTTCCCCGACGCTCATCATCTCGCGCCGCCACGTGTCTTAAACGTCGATGCGTATATCCCAGCAACAGCACGACGTTGGGCTGCGGTTACAGCGGAATGAGTTTTAAAGGAGCTCTGCGCGCAGGCAACGCAGCCCAATCAAAACATGACCCCTCTCCGGGCGGCACGTGAGCATCTTTAAATACCCAACATTCCTCTGTGCTGCACTGGTGTGACCCGGCACTCATGACGTCATGGATTCAAGTTACCTGCCTGTGTACTCGGAAAGTAACAACAGTGTAGCGTTAACAATGCGGCAGAACAGTAAACACCCCGGGGGGAGGGGGGCTCCAAAACACAATCGGTTCGCTGAGAAATCCGAATTCTCTATTAAAGAGCAGTTTTCTAAGTAGCCAAGTGCTAATGGCAAAATATATCGAGGATGGGCAGGTGTAGCATGTCAAAACTAGCCAGTGCCAGCACATAACGTGATACCGTCTCATGGCAGTGCGAGAGCAGGATAGCCGCATGGGTGATATCGGTTGCGCACTGTTGACCACCGGCTTACATAAAATTACAATAGGCTGTTAACTCAGGGAGGCAGTGCCCTTGCTCGAAAATGAACTACCCCATCGATAGGTTCGAGTAAACACAATCATATTGATCTTCTTAAAACTGTGACAATGTAATTCTTGTCATTACGATGATGATACTATCAGCTATCTCGGTTTGCGGCCTCCAAGATTAAGTGTGCCAGAGTTACAAAAATAAAGAGAAACACTTTCCACGAGTCCTTTACTGGACCAGAATGGACCACCTTCGGGCAACCTGAAGTCCGCTGACAAGTGGTTTTGTACAAGTCAATCTGCCACCCAAGCCACAAACAACCCTTGAGCCCTGCTGTGTTTTTAGCGGCCTAAATATAAACATCCTTGCGTAAGAAAAAGTTGACACACACTCGTTAATCTGCCTGACTGCTCTGGCTGAGATCTGGCAAAAGGTGGCACCGATGGGCATAACAGTATACATTCACCTGATATTTGAGACAATCTTAAGGTAATAACATTGTCATCTTCTCAGTCTCAGTTAAATGTTGTTCACACCAATACTTGTAGTTGACCACAAGCAAATAGCTCACGTAACAGTTAAAAACAAATCATGACATTGGTGGTTAATTGTGCACATCATGGGCAAGAGGCAACGTGTTAACTCATGATTTATAAGTAAAAATGAATGAGAATACCGATAAAATTAAAGGTCATTGTTATTGTGACAGCTCACAGTTCGCTGCCAGAACGTCCAGCATAATTTTCTCTAAAAATTCAGGGATTGTGGAGAAACCAAAGTAGCCATCCGTAGACTAAATACAAATGTAAAAACAACCACACTGACCAATGTGTCAGTGCTGGGCAACAATCATCGATTTAATATAGTCGATAACATTGGGACAACTCTTACACAGCATCCCGTGTAGGGAATGATCTAGATAAACATGCAAGCTACCAACATTGCCGTGACATGAGATGGTCAACGACTGAACTTTCATTTCCAGATATTTGCTTATAAACCGATGCCTCAGCGCTACAAGAGACGTTTTTTTAGGTTTACAGTCAGGCTGCCAGTGATGTTGGACAACCTACGCTCTGGGAAATATTATCCATCACGGGGTTCCAATTTTAGTCCCTTCACAGTGGGGAAAAAATGCTTTCTCACTGCAAAATAGGTCTGAACATTTTTCCATGCAAGGGCAGGGTCATGCTTTTTAAATGCTCATTAATACAATGGTTGCTTAATTTTCTGCATCACGTGTCTTGCGGAAATACATTTCAAATAATGTTGTACTAGGGACCAAAACAGTAAATTTAAGTCTCGATTTAAAGCTTTCGTGACTGCAAGGATTCATCTTCTTTGGTTCTTTCGGTAAAGTCACGTAGAATGAGAATAAAATATTAAAATAAAATAACACAATAAAATTCTCACGACGTTTCGGCCACAACACAAGTAGCCTTTTTCAGGTGAAAGGAACAAACCTGTCGGGACGACAGAGCTTCAATGAAAAAGGCTTCAATAAATCCTTCAAACTAAAATGATGACTTATGCACTCAAGATGAGTAACAAAGGGCAGTGATTTTGATTTAATCAATGTTGCTTTTAAATTCCTGAATGTCTAGGCTGGTGACCAACAAGCCAAACCCGACATTCTTGAGTACCAACACTGCAAGCGCACTGTTCACAGTTCATGGGTCTACCATACGCATGAACTTTTCAATAGAGCCCTATTCACCACAATCCAGACAGCAGCCATGTGCAGAAGTTGTCGATCTGCTGGCATTAATCTCACTGCAACAGATACTAATTCATCCACTGGCAAACTACGGAATTAATGCACAACATTCCCTCAGTGCTCATGGCACATATCATTCGTCCAATGTGATTTCTACCGCATCCCCAAATTATCGTATTAGTTTTAAACAATGCAATCGAAAGACGTGTGCTGACGAGCAGGCCTATTTGTCGTTACACACCCATGTTCAATATATTTTGTTTGTACACTATATGGAATTTGGGAAGCAGAGAAGCCATTACACACATAAATATATCTCAGCTAAATAATTTTAAATATGGGAGTAAGCAACACACCAACACTTTAAAGTATCAGGCGAATTGCCCTTGCAGAAACAGGGATTCAACTGCCAAATGAGTAGTCATTGGTAAGGGGAATGGGGAAAGACTGGGCTCCCTTGTTCTCCCATCTCAACGTCTCAGCTAATGCTGAAAAACAAAGGCTACTTTCTCAACGGTAGCAGCCACCGTCTGCCAGCCACTGATCAGCCTCTTCCGTCTATGCGAGGAGAAAAAAACCCTCCAAAAACCTCATTATGATAAGAACAATCCACAACTTAAATGGAATGTTATACATGTTTAAGGATACTCCCGGCAACAAAAAAAAAACTCCCAAATATCGGTGAAGGTCGTTTATGAGCATCCTCTGGCACTTTCCTCCATTGAAAATTATCTAGATATATTGGTCAAGGATTGTGGAAGTGTAATCTAAGATATTAGGAAAACATATCTATTTATTTTTTTGTAAAACTGTTCATTAACCTCCAAACATATTTAACTTTTTCGTTTGTTTATCGTTTGATTAAATTTCGTGCAGCACGATGACCACGAGCACAAAGGCAGCACGCTGGCTAACCTGGCTACTTCTCGTTATTGACCATAGCACCCCCTTTCGACTGCTGACAAAAACCTTCACACCGCACACAAGCCAGCGGGTAAGTGACATCATCGCTGCGCACTGGCCGGTGCCTGCGTTTTTCTATTTGTGCACAAGCGACAATAAGATCTTGTGGGAAACTACAGAGTTTTTAATCGGAGTATTTAAGAGAAGCCATTCATCCGGCAACTCTGTAAACCAATGGCTCAGATTACGTTATGCATTAAATATGAATACGGTTAACAATCACCCCATGAGCAAAGCGCAGCAGCTCTCACTCACGCGTGCGTGAGCAGCTGCCATGCCTCATTCAGAAGACAGTGCGCAGATTGCATCTCAGTAGATTGTTTCATTTGTATTTGCCTGTAACGATACGTCTCCTTAACCGAGCAGAAAACGGGCCCTAACTTGCTCGGCTTCTGCCGAATGACGATAATGCTGCCATGCTCAACGGCGGGGTAAACAGCTTTCAATCAATGCAGGAATATCAAGCAGTGGGCATTTGCCTGCATACATGCATACCCAACTATCACACCGCCATAAAGCATGTGCCAAGTACTGCTGCTGCCTTTGAACAAACCAACCTGGCAACAAAGTACATTGGAACTTGAAAGGGAATCTCAAGCAGCTATGCCTTTACCCCTAGCAACAAGCACGCACAGTGAACAGCATTTGCTGCATGTGCAGTATAGCCAGGCTGCACTGGCGTTGCACAGACGCTGCAAACATTACGTGAATTTCATGACTGGAGGAGTCGTTTCAACTCGGCCGTCGCCTTAACATTAAAAAAACAAATCTATCAGACTGAGCTGTTCACTTTGCATGGCAAAATATGGTTCGGCATTCAGGAGATGTCTTTCGTTAAAACTTCGGTAATAGATTATACATCTCAAAACACGGCTTTCAGTAAGGAATTGCACAATCAAAGTGGTTCATATAAAAGGTGTGTGTATAGTTTGCATGCATCACCTGAATGAATTTGCATATAAAGTGAAATATGGAGGACCGTTGGGCATTGCGCAAGGTACATTTTAGGCGCTTGTTTCACAGCGCGCACACTACCGCAGTGATTATCGCGAACAGAGAAGCAGCTGAAAATGGAAAACGAGAGGGTGACCCACAGAAGAGTAAAAAAAGCAACAGACAGGCAGATGGGTGGTGAAGACGGGCACCAATGCCCTTGCTCCTGGTCTGCTGTTGAGAGCCCGAGGGCAGGGCCGCAGCAACATCTCCCCGCGCTCCCCACCCCTCCCCCCTCCTTCCCCGAGCCGCACTACTCACATGAGGCCAGATTCACAGTCTCCAACCAGGGGATGGCGGTTGTTATCGGAAATCTTTTCGCTGCAAGAATAACACAACACGAGCACACACACACGCACGCGTGCGCGCGCACGACCCAGAAGCGCAAGGTTTTATCATGTCTTACCGTACAGAGAAATACTGCACTTGCCTAATCGTCGCCGAGATGTGTGGCCGTCGCACAATTTTTATCGACGTGACACTCAATTATTCAATAGCTGTCTTAAAAAAATATATTAAAATTTTTTTATCGTTAAGCACTGGCAACTAACGCAAAGTCATGCAGTCGATGATGGTGAAGCGTGTGCGACCGCTGCCACACGCGAATAACAGTCTGCACGCTTCACCTCAAACCCTAACCCCCTCCCCCCTTTAAAAATACGAAGTATCGTATTGCAAGCGGCTTATATTTTTAGAAAGCAATTTGACGTGATCTCGCGCTTGATGTGGAGAGGGTGCTCCTGCGTCCTGGCCCGGCTACGAAGGGCCCAGTAGGCGACACCGTAAACACATTTCACAGCACGCAGTGACAGCTCCGGCAACGCTAGTACACACACACTCAAGCAGCGTTATCACGCTCACAACAATTCACTCCTGCCAAGCGGAATATAGTTAAACCATCGCCATGTCCCAGCGGAACCTCTTGGCTAAACGTGGGACCCGTCCAAGGCCAGGCCTATTGACATTGCCGTACAGTAACTGGGCCTAGCAGAGGAGTGAAGCAACACAAGCTGGTACACACACATGCAATTATACACATTTACTAACACAAAAGCATACACAATTAAATATACATAATATGCATACGCATACAGGTATACATAAATGAGAAAATAACATGTCAGCATATACACATGATTACACCGAAATACATATACACACGTACTCAAGAACAAAACATCTACACAAATATGAAATCCTACATAATGAATACACATCAACACAAACACAATTAGCACACTCATCCATACATGCATGGGCCAGAGCAGAATGGGCGCCGATTAAGTGGAAAATCTGTAATGGTACAGATTTATTTTAATGGCCAAAATGAAAATCGCCTGCAAACTTACTCATTTGAGAGTTATACCATTAAATTTCGATTTAAAGCTTTCGTGACTGCAATGATTCATCTTCTTTGGTTCTTTCGGTAAAGTCACGTAGAATGAGAATAAAATAATAAATTGATAAAATAAAATAACACAATAATATTCTCACGACGTTTCGGCCACAACACAAGCGGCCTTCATCAGGTGAAGGGACGAGACTGTCTGGTAGGACAGCGCTGGAGTGAGAATATTATTGTGTTATTTTATTTTATCAATTTATTATTTTATTCTCATTCTACGTGACTTTACCGAAAGAACCAAAGAAGGAGTTATACCATTATTATTTTTTTATCGCCGTACGAATCCATCTCTCTAAATTTGCATGTGACCTCTAATTTGAGATGTGTCATTAACCGTTTGGAAAAGTTGGCTTCGGCTGGACACTCTCTCCCTAGAATGGGCAAAATTGGTCACGGGATGGCAACCAAACAAGAGAACGCACCTGAGAGGGCATCGCTGGGGAGGTGTGGCAATGAGCTCGCTCTCATTTTTAAGGAGATGGAATTTTCCAGGACGGCTGTGTCTTGGTGACAACGTTGGGAAGTCTGTGTCCAGTCACGGACACATGGCTGCCGATGATGATAATGGGAAAGAGGCCTCTCAAGGGCGAACTGGGAATAAATATATGACCATGACAATGCGGGAAGCCGTAATCAATCAGTGGATAAGACGTGGCTGACGATGATGATAACCGATGCTGATTAATGTATTTATACCACCCCACGCGGTACCGACGGGTCAAAATATCTTGTTTGGGCCCATGAAGCGTATTCCCTGTACACACACACACACACGCGAGTGACGACGATGGTGAATGAGCAAGGAAGGAAGGGGGTGGGTGATGTTCGTACCTGCTGTTGCTGCTACTGCTGCTATTGCTGCTGCTGCTGCAGGCTGCTGATGGGCTGGCACGGGCCGCTGCGCTCCCGCCAGACCCGTCCGAGGAACTCATACGAGGCTAGCGGCCGGACCACGATGACAACGATGATAACGACGACGACGTTCCTGCTTCACGATGAGGGAGACCAGGGGGGGTTGTGTTGCAGCTGGGTGTTATTTCGATGATCTCGGTTTTGTGGCGTCGATTCTGAACCCGGTGGACGGGAGCTGTCAAGTGGAAATGCGAGACCTGTGAATGTCAAACAACAAAAAAACTGCGTTCTGAAATGGTAAGAGCCGAGCGGTGTGCGTTGATGTCCTGAGACGAAAGGGAGAGATTGGGAAACTGAAGACATGAACGTTGCGTTTAAAACTCTGGTCATTAACAATCAGGTTTTGCTGAGCAGTGACGTTAAGATGCGTTCTGAATTATGTGGCAAAATAGTTCAGAAATTGTTATGCTAGCGGGAGGGCGGGGATATTGTGAGTTTTGGGAACCTGCACACTAACATTCGGTTCTAAAATCTGATAACTGACGGGCACGGGTTCTGATTGTGTGTGAACATGGTGAATGGGGATTTATCGCGAGGGATTCTAGGCGTGGGTCACGAACCGGCAACTCGTCTGGCCTGCACTTGGCGTGACAACACAATTCGGATGCAAGATGCTACGGGGTTTGGAATTCAGTCAATCTGGAGGTTGGGATCTCAAATCAAGAACAAGCCGAGGTGGCGGGAAGATCGCCGAACATCCGCGACCAGATTGGTAACGAGGCCGCGAGTCGCGGTTCTGGCGCCGATCCCCCGGGTGGGAGGGAGGCCGCCTCGAGATCCCCGACCGACCGCTGCGGACGAGGGCGGCACACGGACACGCAGACGCCGTGGGGTGCGCGCAAGCTCAGATCGACAACCAGGCGTGTGTGTGTGTGCGGCGTCGCCGATGACACCAACACGGGGCTCGCCACGGGGACAAATCCGTTCGGAACTCGACGGAGCCGGGGGGGAGGTTAGGAGGGAGCGAGGCTTGTTCGGTGTCACTACGCACGGGCTCTGTTGCTGCCGCCGCCGCCGCTACCGCCACCGCTACTACGGTAGCCGCTGTAGTTTACTGTGAACCGTGGTGGAGCATGGCTCACGTGCGGCTCTGCTGCTGCTGTTGCCGTGTCCCGGGCGGTCCGCCGCGTCAAGCGCTCGGGGGAGACTCGGCCCGCAGCCCCACAGCCACCAACGCCATCTTGTCCAGCCCGCTACCCCCAGCGTGCACTGCGCGCGAGAGAGAGAGAGGCCTCCACCACAGCCCCTCCCCTCGTCCCCCACACAGCCCCTCCCCTCCACCACAGCCCCTCCCCTCATCCCCCACACAGCCCCTCCCCTCGTCCACCTCACAGCCCCTCCCCTCCACCACAGCCCCTCCCCTCCACCACCTCACAGCCCCTCCCCTCGTCCACCTCACAGCCCCTCCCCTCGTCCACCTCACAGCCCCTCCCCTCCACCACAGCCCCTCCCCTCCACCACCTCACAGCCCCTCCCCTCGTCCACCTCGCAGCCCCTCCCCTCGTCCCCCGCACAGCCCCTCCCCTCCACCACCTCACAGCCCCTCGCCTCCACCACCTCTTTTTCACCGCTCCTCTCCTCGCTCCCCACCGAGTCCCACTGTCACCATTGTCACCACTGTCACCACTGTCACCATTGTCACCACTGTCACCACTGTCACCACTGTCACCATTGTCACCACTGTCACCATTGTCACCACTGTCACCACTGTCACCATTGTCACCACTGTCACCATTGTCACCATTGTCACCACTGTCACCACTGTCACCATTGTCACCACTGTCACCATTGTCACCACTGTCACCACTGTCACCATTGTCACCACTGTCACCACTGTCACCATTGTCACCACTGTCACCACTGTCACCACTACCACCATTGTCACCACTGTCACCAGTCACCATTGTCACCATTGTCACCATTGTCACCACTGTCACCACTGTCACCATTGTCACCACGGTCACCACTGTCACCACTGTCACCACTACCACCATTGTCACCACTGTCACCAGTCACCATTGTCACCATTGTCACCATTGTCACCACTGTCACCACTGTCACCATTGTCACCACGGTCACCATTGTCACCACTGTCACCATTGTCACCATTGTCACCACTGTCACCACTACCACCATTGTCACCACTGTCACCATTGTCACCACTGTCACCATTGTCACCAGTCACCAGTCACCATTGTCACCATTGTCACCATTGTCACCACTGTCACCATTGTCACCATTGTCACCACTGTCACCATTGTCACCACTGTCACCATTGTCACCATTGTCACCATTGTCACCACTGTCACCACTGTCACCACTGTCACCATTGTCACCACTGTCACCACTGTCACCACTGTCACCATTGTCACCACTGTCACCACTGTCACCACTGTCACCATTGTCACCATTGTCACCACTGTCACCATTGTCACCACTGTCCCCACTGTCACCATTGTCACCATTGTCACCACTGTCACCATTGTCACCACTGTCACCACTGTCACCACTGTCACCATTGTCACCATTGTCACCATTGTCACCACTGTCACCACTGTCACCATTGTCACCACTGTCCCCACTGTCACCATTGTCACCACTGTCACCACTGTCACCACTGTCACCATTGTCACCACTGTCACCACTGTCACCACTGTCACCATTGTCACCACTGTCACCACTGTCACCATTGTCACCATTGTCACCACTGTCACCATTGTCACCACTGTCACCATTGTCACCACTGTCACCATTGTCACCATTGTCACCACTGTCACCACTGTCACCATTGTCACCACTGTCACCATTGTCACCATTGTCACCATTGTCACCACTGTCACCATTGTCACCATTGTCACCACTGTCACCATTGTCACCAGTCTCCATTGTCACCATTGTCACCAGTCACCATTGTCACCATTGTCACCATTGTCACCACTGTCACCATTGTCACCATTGTCACCACTGTCACCATTGTCACCATTGTCACCAGTCACCATTGTCACCATTGTCACCACTGTCACCATTGTCACCATTGTCACCATTGTCACCACTACCACCATTGTCACCACTGTCACCAGTCACCATTGTCACCATTGTCACCATTGTCACCATTGTCACCACTGTCACCATTGTCACCACGGTCACCATTGTCACCACTGTCACCATTGTCACCACTACCACCATTGTCACCACTGTCACCACTGTCACCACTGTCACCATTGTCACCACTGTCACCATTGTCACCACTGTTACCAGTCACCATTGTCACCATTGTCACCATTGTCACCACTGTCACCATTGTCACCATTGTCACCACTGTCACCATTGTCACCACTGTCACCATTGTCACCATTGTCACCATTGTCACCATTGTCACCACTGTCACCATTGTCACCATTGTCACCACTGTCACCACTGTCCCCACTGTCACCATTGTCACCATTGTCACCACTGTCACCATTGTCACCACTGTCACCACTGTCACCACTGTCACCATTGTCACCATTGTCACCATTGTCACCACTGTCACCATTGTCACCACTGTCACCATTGTCACCACTGTCACCACTGTCACCACTGTCACAATTGTCACCATTGTCACCATTGTCACCACTGTCACCATTGTCACCCATTGTCACCATTGTCACCACTGTCACCATTGTCACATTGTCACCACTGTCACCATTGTCACCATTGTCACCACTGTCACCATTGTCACCACTGTCACCATTGTCACCACTGTCACCATGTCACCATTGTCACCACTGTCACCACTGTCACCATTGTCACCACTGTCACCATTTGTCACCATTGTCACCATTGTCCACCATTGTCACCACTGTCACCATTGTCACCATTGTCATCACTGTCACCATTGTCACCAGTCTCCATTGTCACCATTGTCACCAGTCACCATTGTCACCATTGTCACCAATTGTCACCCACTGTCACCATTGTCACCATTGTCACCACTGTCACCATTGTCCACCAGTCACCATTGTCACCATTGTCACCAGTCACCATTGTCACCATTGTCACCATTGTCACCACTGTCACCATTGTCACCATTGTCACCACTGTCACCATTGTCACCATTGTCAC